TAACAAGTGTGTGCGCAGATGAGGCACAAGTGCCGATAAATGTGTGTGCGCAGTTGAGTTGAATCCGTGTGCGCGGCTGCGGCGCCGCCCTTCTGTAAGCCACCCGAATGTACAGTAGTAAAGGTTAGAGGGCAGAAAGCCATTCCATTCTAGCACGCCAGTAAAATTTTGGAAGAGCTGGATCTGAACCTCTGCAAGATTTTGTGGGTCTCTAGACTCTACACCTTTACACTAGATCTGTCTGGATGTCGAGGCCTTTGGATCTTTGTAGATGTAGGCGTCCTGTTCTCAACCGTGACCTCTTGAATCTCCAAAACCTGAAACACCTTATCTTTTGAATTCTTGGCAATTTCGAACCGAACACAGAGGGCAGAGGCCGACCGTTGTAGTGGATAGGTTGGTCTCGACCCAAGGGCCCTACAGGACAATCCAAGGTATCCGTGTAGGTTGATTTAGTTTTTGTTTTTTTTTGATGCGTTTTTGTTTTTCTTTTGATCACTGCTTCGAGTTGGACTATTGCGCTTCCCTCCACTCGTTTGGGTCCGTTTATTTTTTTATTGATTCATTTTTGTTTTCTTGATACCCTGAATTATATTTGTTTTTTGATGCATTTTTATTTTTTTTTTGATCCCTTGCCCGTTTGGGTATCAGGCTACAGCTGCTGATCGGCTCAGGTGCTATGCGCACTTGCGCGCTATGACTTCCAAAAGATTAGCTCTAGTTTCTCGAGCGGCCCCCGCAGCGTGTGATCGAGTAGTGGGATGAGGGCACCCCTCCGCGCTGTGGCAACAATCACATTTTTCTGAAGCGATGATTCTTTGTGGCCCAAACCTCCAGGCTAAGGTTAATGAAGCGAATTTGTGCAATGTGAGGTATTGCGTGTGGACAGCTTGGATGAGGTGGGCGTGGATTGTTGGAAGGACATGTGCACTGGCGTCAGGCAAAAATATCCAGTAACTGCGCGCCCCTGCCCGCCGACCTGCGGAGCCATATCAGGCCACCAGCCCCACCGCCATCCACAAACGGCGCTCAACAGCGGGACAGCGCCGGGCCCACCAAGCCTCACAGCAGATACCCTCCGACTGACGAAGGGACCAGACAACGGCTCACCGCCGTGGCACGCCAACTTCCGCAAACCAGGGTGCCCGCAGCCATGGTTCCCTGCATCGGGTTGGGCGGATCGTGGCACTCCAAGAAGCTAACGGCCGTGCGCGGGGATCGTTATCGGGGATGTGCTTCGTCGCTGGTTTCCGGGAGCCTGGCACACACATTGTCTGGGCCCATCCGTCCATCCATCCCTCCATCCAGTGGCCAAAAGGGCGGGTACGGGCAGTCATCCACACCTTCACGGCCGCAACCGAGGCCAATCCCACCCACACGGTGCTTTCCGTCGATAGCATAGGTGCATACGACAAGCACCCCACAAGGTTCCATGTTACCTCGCCCCTTAACCGAAGTTTGTCCTTCGTTAGCCTTTTTTACGGCCAGCTTTCGCAACACGTGTGGCATGACAACCAAGGCCGTCCGCACCCAATCCGCCAAGCAGAAGGGGGCAAACAAGGGGATCCCTTAATGCCAGTTTTTCTTTGTGCGGGGACAAAGAGCAGCCCAAGCCACCCAACGACAATCACCCCACAGAGCTATTGCTTGCGTACCTGGACGGCATCTACGCTCGCGCCCTCCGGCCGTGAGCTTCCGATCCACACCCGCATACTCAACAGTGGGAAAACTCGTTTCTGGAAGGGGCTGCGCCCTTTAGAGCGGGACCAGCGTCCCACGACACCAGCAAGGCACCATCTGGGCTCACCAAGAGTTAATCAGTTCATAGCTCGCCAGCTGCAAACCAGCAACGCAGCCCAGCACACTCTGCTGACACGCCTCCCCGCCTTGGACGATTTGCAGGCGGCTTGGCTTTAGTGTCGCCCTTTTGACTCTATTGGCGAATGCTACATCAGGGCCCTGGGAAGCAAAGCCGGGGCCATTGGAAAGTCCCGCAGCCCGCATGTGAAGAGAAGCAGGGGCGAGTGTAGCAACGCACGTCATGGTTTCTGACTCGAACATTGCGACAAGCAGCCGCTAAGGGCAGTGCGACAGGCCAAAACTCGAATATATAGTTGTCTTGGCAACGGAAAGGGGGCAGCAGTGGAGTGCAGAGGCTGCTGAACTTTTACGTGTCCTGGGCAAAGCGCGTCGCCGAGCAATGGTGCCCGCTCCAGCCATCCATTGCACGCGGGTCAGCCACGCTCACATTCGCAGCGCGAGCACCATTCGCGATGAATTAGGCCTTGCTATGACAAAGCAAGGGTATGTCCCAGCTCTTTCTATCCGAACCGCCAAAGGGCACAATGTTTTGTGTTTGGTGTTTTTTGCTCCTGAAATTGGAGCTGTGATTGCGTGTGGCCCCATGGCATTATTCTGCAGTGGTGACTTAAATGCGTCACTGCGCCCTAACCCATTTTTTTCGAACCGCAGGAGTTGGAATCTTGAGCCCGTGGAATTACTGCAATTTGGTTTGATCGTCCAAGCTCGTGTGTGTCCTCTGGTCCGCTGGTCCCCTGGTCCTCTGGTCCTCTGGTCCGCTGGTCCCCTGGTCCGCTGGTCCCCTGCAGTCCGCTGGTCCACTGGTCCGCTAGTCCCTTGGTCCTCTGGTCCTTCGTGGATTCGATATATGCTTTGCAAAGCAAACAAGGAAGCAAACCAACAAGCAAGGAAGCAAGCAAGCAAGCAAGCAAGCAAGCACGAGCTGCTCACCTTTGGATCTGGTGTGTTGCTGGGGGGGGGGGGGGGGGGCCCCCCCAACCCCCCCGCACCACGAAATCTGCACTTCATCCCCGGCATCCGCACCTGCCACGAAATCAATATTTTAAGCAAAAATGTCTAACCAACCAAATATGCCTCCTCTATCTCTCTATGTATCTATCGATCCATGTATCTTTCTATCGTTCCTACAGCTTTGGTGCGGAGACGGGGTTACAGGATTTTTTGTGTTCCAGTATGATCCAGGTCATGTGTTCGTTAATGAGCCGAAAACGTCAAAAAAACATCGTTTTTTGATTGAAAAACAGCGAACATTATTTTAAAGGCGTATTTGTAGTTGACTGGCTGGTCGACGTTCAGTGACTATTGGTAGTTGGCATGTGGAAGAGTTTTTTCTCAGCTGAAAACTTTGTGTGTTTCACCGCTGGCATTTCCAGAATCCTTAGGGAACCTTTGAGCTTTATTAAGTTTCAGCCAGTTGTTGTGCAGGCAGGCAGTCCGTAACAGGAATGAACAAGACTGCCATGCGGAGATCAGGCATTGAAAGTGGCCATCCACCAAAGCCCCAAAACCAAGTTGAAGGTGGACAGAGTCAAATTTTGGCTTGGCGCTGTTTCATTCCACATGCCGACGGCCTTTGAATTCTTGGGCGCTGTGTTGAAATCCACGTGGTGGCAGTTGTGCAGCCATGGATTCCGAAGTGTTGGCGGCGAAGGCGGGTGTGGTGATTAGGTCACAAAAAAGAATAAAACAACTGTTTACATACCTGTGCTGCCGTGCGCCTTCTGAGGCAGGACCTTCCATGGCATTTTTCTTGGTGCTGGCGGGGTTTGGAGGGTTTTTGTCCTCATCTGGCGCCAATGTGATGGCTTGGTCTGAGTTCAAGCGGCGGTCTGGCAAGGACAAGCGTCGCTCAGAGTGGTCATTCGGGCATGTGCCAGTGATGCTTTGTGTACAAATGACGTTTCCTTCTTCAACTTCACTTCCGCAACCGTTGAAATAGTTGCGCGCAACCTGGACCTGAAGTGTGTTTTTTCTTCAAATTTTGGATTGCAGGAGTGGACCAGGTGCCAAAGCATGGGCTTCGTGTTCGCGTGCTTCATCTTGAACATCACAGGAGGGTGGAATCGGGTTTTGGTGACACTGTTTGCGCCTTGCTTTGACAAACGGGAACATATAGGCCATCTCCGTGGCATTACCCTCATTACCCACTATAAATTTGGGGGGGTTTATATGTTCATAAAACGTTTTAGGCAATAGACCCCTCAAAGGGGTGGTATCAAAAACAAGATGCTCTCTTGACAGAGATCTTCTTGATCCAAAACCACATTCGCAGTTGCAAGAAAATAGGTATACAAAACTTGTATCGAAGTTCAAACCGTCAATCATAGAATGTCAGAGATCTTGCTCGCCTTTTTATATGCATATGTGTCAGCCCATACTACCAGGACCAGTACACACGTAATTGAACTATGAACAAGCAGGGGGTAGGTCTCCCAGTTTATAGAGCCAAAACGTTCCAAGCCAGAGCACCTAGAGTCATCAAAGGTGTTTTACTATGTTTTTATATTGCTTTATAGAAGGTTAAGAAAGTGTTTACTTTTGTGCTTCAAATCCTAGGAGGTTTGAGGCTGATGGCTTCAGAAACCCAGGGGAATCCACCCAAAGACAGGTTTATTAAGCGGAAAGGGGGTGGGACCCAAGCTGTAATCTTCCACGCTGATCCGTCCAAAGCATGTCCATACATGTCTCCAAGTAGGTTGGGGGAGGCGATTTTGTATATTTGCATTTAGGGTTAAGTTTACATATAGTCCCACAGGGGGTAAAAGTCACAATGTTATATCTATAAAGTGGGTTAGACCCCCTAGCAGAATTGCCATAGGTATTATAGGCTGTTGCCGTTTATTTTCTACGCGCGTTGAGCCACCAAATGCTGCACGGAACCAGCCACCCAGCCGGCTGTGCTGCTGTTGGGCATGTTTGTGGCACATGAGCGCAGGCATTGGCATGTTCCTGGCATCAACGGCGCTTGGTGGGGCAGTTGCCACCGCACCTGGCTTGAGTGAAGTTATTAAATGTGAAGGCATCCAATTTTGACAACACCATCTAGTATTCATCATTCAACCGAGGGCGGGGGCATCGTAGATGGCACCCGACTCAAACATTGAAGTAGTTCCTGTGCCGTTGGACCAACCCGCACTGGGTTGTATGGCCACGCTGCAAAAACCAGTGTGACCTAGGTCATGCCGATCCAGACCGGAGCGAACTTGCTGGGGAATATGCTTTGGCAGACGCTCCTGGGGATGAAGTATTACACGAAGTGCCCTTGCTGAAGAAAACTGTGCGCAGAATGGCGTTCGGGCTGGTTGGCCAGTGGCATGGTGAGAGCTGGCGGGGGGAACCTTTGAACATGTGCAAGGATCCTGAACTGAAAGAGCCTGGTGCAGGTATTTCAATTCCTTCAAATTGTCGTTGCGAAAACGTAGAACATTCTGGCAGCATCCTTTTGAACATTGTTGGACCTGATTAGTGCTCAAAATGACCATCCGTCAATTGTAACATGATTTCCAAAAAGGCCTGAACACCCTGTGGCACAGAATCCCAACAACTGAGGGACATCCGGACCGGATGATGGACATCGACCATAGAAACCTGCAGCAGGTCTGTTTAGGGCGTTCCTGGGGTGGCCTTCTTGAAACAGACCTCCCCCCACCCAGGTCTCACCCCACCTGCCTCCTCGCCAAGGAGCATGCGTGTTGGCACGATCGTGCTGTCGCTTGGGCACGCAATAAACTCGCACCGGTCGGTGAGAAGGGCGGTTGATTTCGTGTCCCGCAGCGAATGGACCTCCATGGACGGCGTTTCAGCGAAGACGACCGATCCATCAGTCAAAAACCGGCTTTCGATCAGTGCATTGGACGTCGATGATGCACCCAGCAAAACGGGTCCAAGCCCCATTCTTTCTAGAAACCAAACCTCGTAGAAATGACAACACCTGCGGGGGTGCATGCTCTTGCCGTCTTGTAGCAACAATTGTTAGAGGATTTTTCTATCCTTTTTTTGGAGGAGATGATTACACAAATGAGAGGAACAGTGCCAAGAATGTTTTCCTATATATGCAGGTGTAATGCTGTATCAGCGTATCAGCGCACGTGCATTGCCCGAAGTGACCGTGCACATGCCTTGCCCAAGTCACCGTGTAGCCGCAATCTTTTGTTCGGGGCGAACCTTCCTGCCCAAAAAAGGAAACTGCTTTCACTGTCACCTTAGGTCAGCCATGCCCCCCCGAAGTGACCCCATTCCCTATGCCATCACCGCTCCCCCACCCAGAAACACGCATCCCCATTCGGGCACCAAGGATTTGCGCGGTGATGGAGCTGTCGGAGATTGGCCCGCAGGAGCCCTCCGAATGGGCACCCGAGGAGGCACCAAGACTGGCTGTCGGAGAGTTTTGGTGTGAGGTGGGCTGGGATTTGGAGGGGTGGGTTGAATAGCTATCCCTGGCCTGGTGCCCAATCACGTGATCTTGGTATTTGAATAGCAGTGGGGTTCATTCTTTTTCCCCGCTTGTTGGGCCTCAAACTATGTGTCCATATGTCTTGATGCGTTTGAGTTCAGTAATCTGATGTTGGCAGAAGTGGATCTTTGTTGGGTTTTTCTTCTTCAGACCTTGCCCAATCAAGCGGATGGGGAGTTTGTCGTACGGGCTCAAGGAAGGCCGCCCGCCTCTCTTCGGCCAATGCATTTTCTGAAGAACATGGGCCGGAAAGGGAACAAGTTCCAGTACCCTGATTGTTTCTTGATGCCAGAGTGGCCGCTGGCAGTTCAAGGTAGTTGCACTCCATGTTTTGTTTGGCATTCAATTAAGTGCGTTGGTCACCACTTTGATCGCCATAGATTTGTGCACGGCAGTCATCACTCCTTCCGATGCGGCGCTGTGAATTTTTTTCAACCTTGGCGTTCACACACCCATCTCAATGAGCACATCCAAAACCGAGGCAAACTACAACCAACGCAGACACAAATATGTTCTGTTTTTTTTCTTCTTCCCCGCTGTGCTCAGATACAAGAGCTCATGACGAAACCGGAGCCTGGGCTGAACACTGGGGGAGGGATGGACTGGGACGAGGAGGGCTGGCGGCACGCTAGCCGCTAGCGTTTGAACAGTCAGGCTGAGCACACCTGCGACACTCAGACCTGGGGCACCCACCCACCACCAATGTTTGCTTCTTCCACCGAGCTTTTGGGAAGGTTGACGTCCACAAATGGAGGTTAGGATCCAGCCACGTGCTGCAGTCTCCCATCACAAATAGCTTGCTCACCCAAGACCTGTCACCATCTTCGTGTCATACGACAGGCACGGCATTTCGGACGGGAAATGGGCCAAGGTGGGAACTCCTTCGTTGGCATTCGGTTCGGAAATGGGCCCGTCCGCCAGTTCCATGTCCGTTTCAGGTGTCAGGTGCACCCAAACTCCTTCCAGATGGGTGTGTATTTGAATGGGGAGATCCCCATATCGGTAGACGGGTTTCCTTCTTCCAGGGGTCGAGCTGCGAGGTCTCCCTGCACCAAACGCCACCACCCAAGAGCCGACCTCGTGTTAAAACAGATGGCTCGACCTCAGCTGTCACTGGATACGAGCCTTTCAGCCCTTATATGTTGGGCTGTGCGATGACCTGTAGCTTGGGAATCGGACCCAACATATATGGTCCATACTGCTCCTTAGTTTTGAGAAGCTTCAACGTGTCGGGAAGATTTGGACCAAGAATCACATGGCCAGTTTGGTTTGCGACAGTTCAGGTGGCCATTGCATGGAACTGCGTCATGGTGCTTTGTACCCTGATCTCACTCTATGGTGTCTACAGGACTGCAGGGAGTGCAGGGAGGGGGTTCCCACCGCGGGGGCCTGGAGGAATCATTTCTGGAACCCTTAGCTGCGATCATCTCTTGGCCTGGTTGGCTTCGGCCTAGCTTAAAGAACCCCAAACAACGTTTGCGTGGGGCTTCGGAAGCTTTTTTGGGTTTCAGCTTCTGCTGAGGCTCCCTTTGAGTGTCACCCACCAAGCCCAAAACATAGTAACAATGGCCTGCACCCAAGTAGCGATGGCCTTCACCCTCTTCAGAACAAGGACGCTGCATCTACCCATGGAGTCGTCTTTGAAGCTCTTCCTCTTCGTGTCCCTGGTGACTTTCTCCACCGTGCAGCTCGCTTGGACCGGGTGTTCGTTCGACCGTCCTCAAGCCGAGCGTGGTGATTTCGGATGGACGCTTGCCGTAGCACGGCTCTAGACCTTCCATCTCTAGACCTTCCATGGCTCTTCTTCGGACTGTTCCGATCCAGGACTCTGCTTGGAGGGGTCGTTGGAAGGGGCACAGTAAGAACATCTACACCCGGGTTCGTAGACCCGAACCTGACCATAGACCTCTGGAGACAGCTTAGAAACACATCGACCATGCCCTGGAATCCGTGTGGCCCCGGGATCTGCGATCGCGAGCGTGTGAAAACGCGACGCATCGCGAAGCTGCTGGACAGACCGTGAACGAAGTGGAAAGACCAACTGTTCGAAGTGGGTCAGTTGATCCAGACATTGATGGCTTTTCAATGAGCCGGACATCAAATCAGTTTTATCCATTGAGGATATTGTGCAGGGCTCCGAAGTGCAACTCATCAGCGGAGCCCTGAATAAATCCAGATGCTTTTTCAAACCTTTGCTGCGACCGTTATCTCCATGCTGCGGTGTATCATGGTGTATCTCCATTTCTTCCAGCGTTTTGTTGAGAGAAGGGCGCACGCCGCAACGTTGACATGCCCTGCAAATATGTTGAAGATCTGAAAAACCATCTCAAAACAGTCCAACTGTAGCGCCAAGCTCTGAACTCATTTGAACTCATCGCGGAGCAACGCACCCCCCGTTCGGTGTGCCGTTTCCGAATCGGGCGACTTGAGGATCGGGGCGTCTATCGGAAAGCTCCTGGGCTTAGTGAAGGGCACCGTCTTTGCTTTAGCCGCTAGGCTTCTTTAACGCACGGTTGTTCTGGGCGGGTGGTTCTGCACCTTAGAAGCCTTAGGGGTTGAGAAATAAGATCCCGGCACATGAGGTTTTTCAATCCCAATGGATGGGTTTTCTCAATAGTCTAGTCTACATCACTCGCGGACAGTGATTGGATCGAGAACTTGAAATCTTCATCCTAACTGTTCAACTGTTCTTTCCGCATCCCACGGGGTATTCGACGGATCTCCAGGTCGCCTTCCTGTACTTCTTGGATGGCGTGATTTGCCTGGGTGGCACGGTCTTGGCGAACGGCCACTGCCCGGAAGCACGGCCACAGCGAAACGAGAGGTGGATGATGAGTATACACTTGGGGGCTTGGTCATTGGATGGCTCCAAGCTGCATGGTGCATCTCAGGTGATGTGTCCTTGTTCATTCCGGCGCAGCTCTCCTCACAATTAGTGGTCAACATGATCACAGGTCCGAACGGGAGAGCTGCGATTGGGTGCTCTTTGGGATGTTTTTCCAAGGCCAAGTAGGGTGTCGGAGGCCGGCTAAGTGGCCATTGGTTCCAGAAGACCTTCTGGAGATCATGCAATGCCAGAAGGCAGTCAATTTCTGCTCATTGGATGTTTTTGGTAGAACATGTGGAACAAGGTTGTGTGGCACCACTTGAGAGATTTTTAAGAGCTGCCAGACAGGCTACTTGGTGTGGGGCGATGCCAAGTACGTCGCTTATCCCACCTCGTATTTGTTGGTCACCTGGCTGCATCGGGGGGATGGGATGTCTCGTGGCTTCTGTTGGTTCCTAAGCCCTGCCTTTCTGGGGGTGTTCTTCATGAGGCCTAGGGGGGGTGAGACAACAGTCTTGGCGACTCCAAACCAGGGGTGGACATGCCTCCCGCATGGGCCATGGGGTTCCATCACTGAGGTCTACGCTCTTTGCATCATGGGGGTCTATTTGAACAGCCCCGATGCTTGGCGCACGGAATCGCCCCAAGCGCGCGGCCGAAACGCCAGCCGCCGGCTCGCTGGCCTGTCGCCGTGGGATGGTCGATGCATGCTTCGGTTTCTGCTTGGTGCTCGGTACCGGGCACACCAGCACACCGGTCATGTAGACTCTTGAGGACCATAAACCCCGTTCAATTTGAATTGAACCTCTTCAGGCCTGCGGGGGTTATTCATCAAGAGTCTACATTCGTTGGGTCAAGACCTCACCAGGTGAGACCGCGTGACCTAACGACGCGACCGTGGCATATTTGCGGGTCCAGGCCGGGCCCAGCACCTGGCAGTTGGGACTGAACAACGGATCTGGATGGTTTGCTTGAGCCTTTGCTTGGTTTCGGTCCGCCGTGCTCCAACGGGACCTGGTAGTTCTTCGGATCCTTTTTGAACCCACCGAAGCTCCAACGGTCGTGCCGTTGCGAAGCACCGAGGCGATGGACGTGCTGGGGGGCTTGACACGGTGGTACAGCATCAAGCACTCCCGGCTGCCAGAACCTCAGCACGGCGCGCGACGCGTCCATCATCGGCGCTTGGAGTTCTCCGGATTGATGGGTCTTGTTTTTTCTTTTGGGGGGGGGATATGGGAATGCATTTCAAGAGGTGGCTAGTGGCTAGAGTTCATGAGAAACTGCACATGTCAGCTGTCAGCTGGGGTGGTGCAAAGAAGAGAGGTACATAATGCAGTGTGACGAAACTGGTCTGCTGATCTTGATTCAAGGCCTGATTCTCACTCCCTAGGAGTCCAAGTACCTCCTCAGAAGGTACTTGGACCCTCAAAACCCACATAAGAGTGTCTCCAATCACCTTCTGAGAAGGTACTTGGATCCCTAGGGACTGGAAACCCTTGCAACCCTCTTCACCACCCAGCGCTGATGCACGACCATCTGACCATCTGACCGCACGACACCGGAGCAGGTCGAAGGGCGAGAGCTGCAGCAATTTCGGCGAGAACGTGCCTGGGATTTGTGGTGGCAGGTCCAGGGCCTATGGCCCTTGAAGTATGTGAAAGTCAAAGCTCCGAGCCGAAGCGGGTGTTGTTTTTGGCCATAGCACTGGTCCAGGTACGTGGCAATGAGTTGTTGTTTTGTTGGAGGTTTTGCTGCCTTCGGATGACACGGGATTTAGAACACATACATGGGCACTCACACATTCCCAAGTCATTTGCCTTACCCTCCTGCTGATAAATCCCATGTCATCAAGCAAAAGAACCAAAAACAAGATACAGTAATGGACTCCAGATTGCCGACGCAACCCAATACAAGGCTGCTTTGTAAACCAGTGACGTGGGATTGACATGTTGAAAGCAATCCTGTCGACTCAGACGCCTGGTTGGCACAGATTGCAGAGCTTAATCTTTTGTAGTTGGGACTCAGCTAAGCTGAGCAGATCGTCACCGGCACCAGATCAGAATTTTTTTGGGGGTGCTGTTGGGAGCACGCATGAGTGTCGCAACTCCTATCTCATCCTGTCAGCAGCGACTCCCAGTAGTATCAGAATCAGACGTTTTAGGCACTAGAGGGTCTATATCTAGGGCCATCCGAAGCGGACAGCAAGTTCGAAGAGCGATAGACATCCATAGACAAACTCTACATTTTCGGGGGAGTTTCTTTGATCTTGTATCTGAACTGATGCTTTTTGTGGGACTGGTCCCAATGGATGCCCATTTAAAAAGCCCCGGAGGGGCGAAGCCACAGGTCTTGCGGCTTCTGGAGCTGTGGCGCCGCGGGGGCGCTGCGCCGGAGGCCCGGTGGGGGGGGGGGGGGGGGGGTCCGGGGGCCAGCAGCTCACCATGGTGGGATGCACTCCGTGCTTGTTCAGAGAGAGAGAGAGATACGGTAGGTAGGTAGGTAGGTAGATAGATAGATAGATACAGAGAGAAACAGAGAGGGAGAGAGTTTTCTATTTATATATTTGTTCCATCTTTGTTCGGGTAGGCTTTCAACAGCTCCAAGGGTGTCCAAGCAGCCTTCCAACTTGCGGTGCCCATGCTTTTCCTTTGCGTCTTCTTGATCACTTCCGCCGCCGCGGATCTGCAGCTGTTGCCCCTACGGGCATCTCCCAGTCTCGGTGGCCGCAACCACTGGACACAGGCTTAAGCAGTGGACGGAGAGGAGCGGCTCGTCCTTCCTGAAAAGCTTGTCATCGGGTATGAAACGGGTCATGTTGAGGGCAAAGCTGAAGTGTTCCCACACTTTTGTGTGGGCAGCACCTGCACCGAAAGTCAAGATGTGTTAGTGGCTGATGAGATGGCTAGAATGGAAGCTTTCGAAGGATTGCTGGGCCTGGAATTGCCGGCGGGCTCCGCAAACCCGTTCGGCAGCAAATTCGTGAGTCATTTGATGCAGCAGGGGATGGCATTCTCCGTGTCACTGGCTCCCTCGCCCTTCCTTGCCCTTGGCCATCGCCACGAGCTGCTGCAGGGCCTGGAGCAAGTGGAGCGCTTGCCAGTGCATCGTATCGGGAACCATCACGGACCGTGGGCCATCCAGGTGGGCCTGTCCGTCGGCGGTCAGGACTTGGCCGAGGGACTTGGCGTTTTGGACACTGGAGCCACAGGGGTGGTGGTGATGCCCGAGTGGTTGCTACTGAATTTTCTGACGCACTTGCTGAAGCCGCCATTTAGAGGATGCAACGTCGGGGAGCACACTGTCATTTGCAAGTCCAACCAAGAGCTACACGACTTAAGACTTAAGGTTCACCTTGGGCGAGAGGGATGTGATGTTTGACACGGAAGACCTGCTCTATCCGCTGGGTGAGGGCGGCGAGGGTTGGTGCCAGCTGCTGATTTTACAGACGCGCGACCTGCCGTACTTTGTCTTGGGCCAGTTCTTCCTCCAAAAGCTCTACACCATAATCGACCCCAGCGGCCCCGATGTGTACCTGGCACCTCCACGTGAGAGTGCCGACGTGGTGATGGGCTTCCAGCATGCTCCAGCTTCACCTACCCGGGCGGCCTTCGCGGCTGTTTGCGCTGCCGCCATGGGGGCTGCTGTGGCCTGCACGTGGCAATCATGGCGCAGATGCTCGGCGCGAGTAGAGATGACAGACAGCGGATACTCGGCGCTGTGAAGCTGCTTTGAAAGAGCGAGCGGTTAGTTAGTAATTAACCTGGGGCTTTTGTAGTGTAGGCGCAGACTGGGCTCCCCGGTTTGTGTTTCCTTTTCGTGGAGAGTTGTGTAAGATTTCATTGCTTTGGAGCGGTGCAGGATTGCCAAAAAGGCTCTTCCAGGATGCTTCTTGGGTTCACAGAAAGCCTGAGAACAAATTTCAGCATATTTCTGCCTATCAGGGGTGGTTGGTTTTCCGTTTTCCAAGGAGTGCCAACAGACTTGCCACCAGCTCATGAAGGATGATGCAGCCTTCATTAAAGAGCTTTCTTGATGTTCTTTTTGCGGTAACTGTGTTTGCCGCCAACATGTGCCAGGCGTACCGCGACCAGCTCGGAGCTGTGCTGAACCGCGGATTGGCCACTTACCGTTGATGATGGGAACTGGGTTGGGGCGCATAAGAAGAGCTAGACTTGCTAAGCCACTGCAGTAGAGTGTTGTCCTAAATCCAGCTGGTCACACTGGGAGCTGCACATGAAAGTTGCCATCCTGGACCTTCCGTTGATTTGGGCTCGAGGTGGCCCCCCTTTCACATTTTTCACCTCCACCCCACGCCATTTTAGGGCGTTTCTGTCGGAGCTTTTGGACTGGAGTGTGGCGATCATGGAAGTGAAGAAGCAGGCTGAAGTGCCATGGAGAGAGGCTAACGGCTAACGGTTCCAAGGTATCGAAGTATCCTGGTCAGTCCTGGATTGGAGAACCACTTTTGTATGGTGTTTTGGGATGGATCTCGTGGTCTCCCGCGGGAGGCCGTCCTGCACGGCCTCATGGCCTACGGCATCTTTGGCGTCCTCCAGGTCTTCCAACGCCTCTGGTGCGGCTGGCGGAAAGCCCGCCGCATGCAACGCATGCTCAAGGATGTGCCAGCGACCCAGGGCGTTGGGCATGACCAGCCGGTAGGACCCGGGGGAGGGCATGCAGGTAAGTCGTGTTTCTTTACAAGGCCACAGGGTTGATGGGGTAGTGAACATGGGTTTGTGGATGATGGAACCATTAGTCATGGTTCATGTATGTGGTTCATGTGGTTCATGTGACCGGGGTGGTCACCTCGAAGCAGTAGGGCGTGCCATGCGACAGGATGGCTCAATGACTTGATGGCAAACCTTCATCGCTTGCACGACTGGCGGCTGGACATTTGCAACTGGTCTGCACCTAGCAGCTTAGCAGTTTTGGGCGTCTGAGAGTTCATTGACATTTCCCATCTTTTCCGTGGTGGTTTGGCAAAGTGTTCCCATCGACTCCCAGTCACTCGATCGGTGAACATGTATCTGTATAAACAATGACGCCCTCTCCATTTTTACTATTGGTGGTTTGGTTTCTTGGCTAATGGATGGGATCTTCCCAGGTGTATGGTACCAAATCGGCCCCTCCATTTTGCCAAAACGACATCATTGGCACATGCAGGTGACTGGAGGAGCGATGGGGTTCACATCTGAGGCCCCAAACTAAACTTAGGCAAGGGCCTGCCGCTCGCGAAAAGCCTCGGCTTTTCATGGATGCCCGCGCCATATCTTGTGGTAGCCAACGATCCGCAGATCGTGAAGCACATTTTGAAGGATGAGTTCAACAAGTACAGCAAGGCCGACACCACTTTGGACCCCTTCTTCTACTACTTTGAGGATTTTCTGGGTGAGGGCATTTTTGTGGTGAAGCACGGTCTGGGCTCCAAGGATGGTGGCCAAGAGTGGAGCCGGATGCGCAAGGTCTCCGCGCAGATCTTTACACGAAAGAACTTCAACAGCATGATGCAGGAGGTCTTTATGTCCAAGGCAGAGTCGCTTCGACGCTCGGCGGCCCCAGGACCATGTTCTCGGTGCCCCCCCAAACATGCGCTGCCCAAACTGGCAGGGATCTCGTGGGTGGACGGATCCGAATCCCGGCTGTTGTGGATGGTTCAAGAAGGATGTCTGTTTTCCAAAACAACCAGCCCGGGCGGAACCTGTCGGATGACCGTTTCTTTGCTGCTCAGGGCGATTTCTGCAAAATGCGGGGCGTGGAACGCCGGTTGACATCCAAGGGTGTTTCTTCAACTTCACCTTTGACAGCATCATGAGCATTTTCTTCGGGGAGGAGTGCAACACCGCGGAAGGTGTGCCGAACGTGTATGGCAAGGCAGGGCCTGGAGGTCCTTTGCAATGCTGTATAGAAAACATACTGGTTTTTGAGAGGTCACCACTTTCAAGAGCCCTTTGTCCGAAATTCTCAACTGCTTTCCAAAAAAGAGAGGCCTTTGATATGGCCAGTGTGTGCCTTCGAGCCCATAGCGTGAAGTCCATGGCGCCCTTCCTCTTCTTCAGCACCTTTCTCCCTTGGCCCCTAGGGGGCCACCACGGCGGCTGGGCCCGCTGGTTCTGGGACTGGTCTTCTCCCACCTACCGCCGGCTCAAGCGTTGCATCCGAACCTTGGAATCGGAAGCGGATCGCTTGGTGCGAAAATGCCAGGAAGACCCCACGCTGGGCGAGAGGAGAGATTTGTTGGCGCTGTTCCTGCAGGGGAACTTCAGCCCGGAGTTTACCAAGAAGATGGTGCTTCATTTGATCATCGCGGGAAGAGATACCACAGCGTGTTTGTTGTCCTGGATGTTCTATGAGCTCACTCGGCATCCAGAGGTGCAAAGACAGCTTCATGAAGAGATTATGCTGAAGCAGCCGCCTGGAACCCCCTTGGACTGGAAAAGCCTCTCGGCCAGCGAAATGCCGTATTTGAATGGTGTAATCTATGAGTCTTTGAGGCGGGGGAGTGTTGATTGCCCCGACAGTTGTTGACTTTTTGCAATTCTGGGAGTCTAGAGGTGTTGGGCAAGGTACCTCTTATGTCTTAGTTTGCCTTGACCTACTCTGCCAAGTCAGTTTTCCAAAGAGGGGTTGCCAAATCTGGGCGGCCTATCCTGCGGCAGGCTTTGGCCACCAGTGCCCTTCGACCTGAAGATGGCTTTTGAGGATGACGTGCTGCCAGGTAGGGCCACCTCGCAACCTTATGGGATCAGACCCCCTTTCTTACGGCCCAAGGCGATGCGCTGGAATGTGGGCGTCCACGCGTCCACACGAGTAATTATAGACATTCCGAGTTCCTCCACCTTCCCCGCTGGTGGCCCCAGCTCGGCGCACTCCACGTGCCCGCCTGGCCAGGTGGCTGGCTGGTGCCCCAGTTCGCTAACGTCGCCTTCTGCCCCTTCAACATGGGCCGCGACGAGGAGCGCTACCCGGAGGCCTTGGCCTTCCGACCGGAGCGGTGGATTCCGTTTACGCCGCTTGGAGGATTTGGTTCCGCGGTTCGACCTTGGAAAGGAGAGGAAGAAGCCAAGAAGTGCTGCAAGGATTCCCAAGCATAAGTGCGTCCTTTTTACTGGTAGTATGGCCAGGAGCTACTATAGCTTCTTTCTACTAGTAGCAATGCCCTTTGTTCCTAGTAGCGTCCTTGTTACTGTTCCAAGGCCACCTCCGCAGCATGAGTTTCCAGTCTTCCAGGCAGGACCCAGAGTGTGCTTGGGCCTCCTGGATGCAAATGGGAGATGCTAAGCCTGCATCCCTCAACCGGTAGGCAAGAAGCCGCCTCCCTGCTCCTTCGCCCCATTGGCCTCGGAAGACGATTCACCTGATGCCCAAGAAAGGTTGGCCCCTGGTGCTCCAGCTTCCATCTACACAACAAAATGCCATTAACAACCAGATCTGTTTTGTGATGCAGTCCATAGTCTACATAGTTGCATATATATATATATAACTGCACCACCTTTGGGGATTGTGACTGCGCCATCTACTCACAATCCACTACTGTATGTGTGGGGTCTTAATCTCCGGGTCTATCAACTCAACTTCGCAAGTGTTTTCGTGCGGAGCCGGGGCGGAGCCGGAGGCGGTCCGAGGTTTTCGCGGGGATCATATGGGGGTCCAGATCGGAGTCATACCCGACTGAAGTTTTGCAGGGACCCTTTACCTCCATCGTCATCCTACATCATGGTCATACGGCAAGCTTGAAGGTGGCAAAGTCGTTTGGAAAGACATGGGGAGACGAACTCTTCCACAGCGGTTTTGGGTTTTGTTCCCTTTTCATGCTTGGCTCAACGACCTGTCGACTTGAGGCCAAGATATGGCGCTCTTCGAGGCAAAGACTTGTGCAGTGGAGCTGCTGCGCTTTTGCTCCTTTGAGATGGTGCCCAACCAGGAGGTCACATATGGAGAGAAGATCACCATGGATATCAAAAGCAGCTGGGCGAAGGAGGAATGGCAAGTGAGCCAAAGCCAGCTTGGACACTTCTAGAGACCTTCTGGCATTCCGACCGGCACGCACAGTTGATCTTTCCGTGTGCTTGCCTTCCGCCAGTTGAAGGGCTGTTTCCCATAATTGTGGCAGGGCGTGTTCCTTTTTTTTGAGGGTTTTCAGATGTTTTCAGCATCGCTTTTGCAAGCGTCATGGGCATACTCTTCTTTGGCTCGGTGTGGTGGAAACAAAGCCAGCAAAGAAGTGGCGTTGGGTAAGTGTACAGTTTTGGGACTTTGGGTTGCCCACCCCTCCCGCAGCCCAATCAATCCTAGCTTTCGGCCGTTGTCGCCGTTCTCGTGGTCGCCTTCCGTTGGTCTTTCGCAGTACGACACGGCACCTTCTGTCCAACAAAGATGCCGCCTTTTGCTCCGAGCCGTCCTCGTCCCGAGCCCGGAGATCGCGCCGGTCCCAGGCAACGGCAAAGAGGAGTTCTGGGTCACTGTGGTGCCCTGGGCGGGAGGCGAACTAGCAGCCAGCAGTAGCTAGCTCGCCTCATCATCCATCCAGCCCAAGTTGCGAGCAGGTTAGTTCGAGCTTTGACAGGCCCGAACTTGCGGCTTTAGGCCGCTGGTCGTCCAACGCGCACATCAGGCAAGATCAATACTCTTATTACAGAAATCTCAAAACTTGAGGCACCAAAGCTTGGTCTTATCTAGCTTTGCTCACTTTCTTGAGCTCATTGAGTACCACTTGAAGGAACACAGTATTACTTGCTCTCGTATATTTCGGCAAGACCAAGATGCAGTAACGTTCTGACATCATCAAGCAGTTCAATACGGAACGAGAGCCTATCACTGCAAGTAGGCGGCGAGGGGTTGAACTTGCAGGGCTGCAGATCAAGTGTTCCTCATCAATCCCTGATAGAACCCCGCCTCAGAGCAGCAGGCCATGCAGCGGTGTCATCGTTTGCACGCACCTTCTCCCGGAGGTGGGAACACAGGAGGCCTTGTGGCTTCATGTGGATCTTCCTGCTGCGGACCTGGTCACGGACCTGGAAAAGAACCGCTTCCTCGCAACTTCTTGGAGGCTTCGGATGCACCAATGCAGCTGGATGCCCACAAAGCTCCAGGATCCTGGCATCCGGTCCGCCGCGTGACCCGCCGGTGACCCGCCTGGACGCGGCGTCTGAAACGAGGACGGCGGTGGGTTCCACCGGAGCGCCCGGGCCCGACCAGTCAGAGAGCGGTTGCGTGGTGAAGTCATCCGGGTGATCCCGGTGAGTTGTGCACCATTTGTGAGCGTCCTTATATAATAGTCACTAGTCTTGTAACTTGTATTGATTGGGACGCCAGAGATGTGACATGTTGTGTTTTTTTTGGGTAGATAAGTCCTGGAAGATGATCCCTAGTCACAACCTACCTCACAACCTTCTTCTAACATTATCTATCTATCTATCTATCTTCCCGTTGGTTCGATTTTCTCTTTTCCGGGAGAAGCAGAAGGAGAAGCCAGCTGCTTGGCTGGTGATCTAAGGAGACTGGAGCAATCAAGCAGTTAGACTTGGTGAACTTAGTTCTCCTGCAGCTGCGTGATCGCCAGTGACTTGATCAAAGCCGCCACTCAGGGTGGAGGTGTGCACAGCTGGAATGCTCTTTGCGTTGCTTTTTGGGGGCCTCGGTGGGGTTTGGTTGTTGATGCCTCGTCCTTGTCATGCGGTTTTTGTTTGGGGTTCCTTCTGCATGATGCGATCGAAGGTGGGATGAAGGCATCGCCATTTTCAGGGAATGTGGGATCGTCTTCGGTTGACTGAAGAGTGTGTTTCCATGGGACTTGTGGAAAGAGGGAACTCGAGGTTCGCCCCTGCAGAGATCAGCAGATGATGGGATCCTGCCGCAAGCCTGAGGTATTCACCAGATCCAGTGCTGGTGCATTGGCTTGAGGACCGCTGTTTTCCGGGTGCATGTTGCGTGGGCCTTTGAGGAGCAGAGAGCTCTGTCATCGACGCGCGGGCGTGCGCGCTCGAACCCCCCAGTGACTCATGGGTGGGGTGCTCGCACCATGGCCCAGCACGGTCGCACCATGGCCCAGCACGGTCGCACCGTGCTGGCACGGTCGCACCTTGTGGCAGGACTTGAAGCTCTTTCAGCTCTACTGCCAACACGATCCTCACTTCAAGGCACGGTTTTTGTAGCCGACGTTTCAGGCTGCGGGCTTGGGAGAAGCCAGAGCTGTGTAGATAGGGCTCATCTTCAGGATGTTATTGATTGTTGTTCGCACCTCACCATGTAAGTCTTTATCCTTGTGGCTGCGGCCTAAGTACTTTCCAGGAGCCCACAAACACAAGAATGGAGCAGAGGGTTCTCCATGAGGATGGATACCATCTCCACTTTGACCGCTTCCATGGATGAACACCCTGCACATAGCCAAGCCAAAGGCAAATACCAGAGCAGATGGGAATTGGACGAAGTTGGTTCTTCATGGGGTGTAAGAACTTTTGAGGGGAATCCTTTTGGTTCTTCAGTTGGTTCTTCAGTTGGTTCTTCAAGCTTCAGCTTGCATGTTGATCTCCTGACGGGAGTCCGGCCTCAGGACTCGTTCCGTCAGACCCTGACCTCTGAGGCAGTGGGCGGGGATGGGGAGAGACAGTTCTACCCGTTCCTCCCTCTCATCAGGTCCTTTGAATGCAGGCCGGCCCTCCAAACCTTGGCCGTTTTTCGTTTCTCTTGTCCGGGTGAAGTGTCCATGAATCGCAGAACTTGTTGTTTGGCCCGATGGGTTGGAGTTCTGGGGCTTCTGTGACCCAAGCTTTCCGGAGTTGTGATCGCCGGCTTGTTCTGCTGTAGGTCTCGCCCTTGAGTCCTTCTTAGCACTTTCCAACAGGTGGTTTTTGGACACCCCGAATCACCGCTAAGAGGCTATTTATGGACACCTCTTGTTGTATAGGTCCATTGTCGCCTCGCTCTCCCAGCCGGGACCTCTATGCGACCCTGATTCACCTTGATGCACTGGCACAGCTCTCGCGCAGAGGACTATCAGAAGTTGATCAACTTGAAAGAGGCCATTGCCGGCAAAGGGTGCCATGCAGGGGGCTCCGGGCAGGTGCAGGGCAGGAGGTGATTTCCTGTTCACTTGACAGGCCACTTGTGCCATTCATGACACTAGTCACTAGTGCATCTAAATCGCGCTGTAGCCCTCCCGCTTCTCGTCATGCACCGGCTCGTCCTTTTTCACCCCAACCACGGCCTGGTTTCCGGGTCCGGTAAAGAGGGGACGCAGGTCCTGCACCTTCACCAGACCCTGCCGGCCGCTGCTGGGGCCTTCTTTCCCCTGGGTGGCGGCACGGCGCCGTGCCGGGTGGCGGCGCACTGGCGCTGTCCAGGAGTACATCCGGGAAGTGTCGGCCTTCGACGCCTGTCTGCAGGACGACTTGGGGGAGGAACTCACCAACTCACCCCCACTCACTCTGGTGCTTAGATTCTCTAGTGCAGTCGGACCTTTGGACGTGCTTTTTGAATGAGTATGGTGATGTATGGTGGGTGTGGTGCGGAAGAAAGGTTTGCACCTTGCGAACCTGGGTGGCTCCATTTGAGAAGTGGTCTAGTTTCTTGAAATGACCGAGGGTTGCAACCTCAAATATTGATCGAGTTCACTTTTGTTGAGTGGTGCTCTAGGTGGTCAAGGTGGTGTGGCTCTAGCCTATCAAATCTTTGAACCTGAAGTTGACCTATCCTCCTATCCTATCCTATCCTATCAAAACAGAGGTAATGTTTTGGGTTCCAGGACCTTTCTCACAGGGCACTTCGACTTCCTCCATCTTCAATCAACCACATAATCTTCCACCAGGTAACAAATCCTTTTGATCGAGGTCTTGACAGAGGGGTGTTTGGCCATCGACCTGGTCTGGCTGCCGTCGACCTCCTCGCACCCGTCAGCCTCCCCAGACACCCGGCCTAGGCCTCCACCATCGACGTGGCGCCCGAACTGGCAGGCCCAAGAGGGTCGGACGTTGGGGTTGAAGCCGGTCACATATGGTCATGCTGGGTAGTAGTGGAGCGTTGACGCGTTGACCCGAGAATCAAGCTCACAAGTTCTCCTTGTTTATTGTTGTTTTTGCACATGCTGCAGAGGGATCCTTGCAGCCTGGGCGCCTGAAAATTCTCGCAGGCTCTGGGATTTCCCTAGGCGAGGGCCACATGGATGGCCGCACGACCAGGCGAGTGGGTCGACAGACAGTCAAATCCGTGCTTAATATTCTCAGAAACTCTCTAACTCACTCACTCACTCTCTCTCTCTCTCTCTCTCGGGCTCGCTTTCTTCCTATTGAAAGATCGACCCAATCGATGGACCTTTCCGGTCCAGCTGGGAGGCTGCTGGCCTGAGGGAGCGGCAGGGGAGGCGCTTTGGGGAGCCGAGGCGGGCCAGCTGCGAAGGGGAAGTGCTCGTGACCTTCCCATGCTTCGGTATTCAACAGTTCCTATCCTTTCGCATCTGATCCTCTCTCCTGCCCCGTCTGTGCCACTTCGATCGATTCACTTCGACATCATCTCGAGCGGACCCGCCACCGCAATGCGGATGGGTCGCGCAGCGGCGGCCTTGATTGGCAGAAAAAGGGGCGCTGCTCGGCTGGGGAAGACAGCATTGGTTCTGTGATGTTCTCTTCCAGGGGGCTCTTGATTGCAACAGTTCTCTTTCCAGTCAATCATTCAACCACAATGATGTAGACTCTTGAGCCATTTCAACCCTCCAGCTGGATGAAAAAGCCTCTTCATGTGGGAGTATTATTCATCAAGAGTCTACGTTATACAACCCATTCACCTTGAATCCTGCTGGGGAGTTTCCCGCTTGGACCACCAACCACCAAAATACGGTCGTATCCTAGCTACTGTATATATATATATATTTATTCCCCAGAAGTCCAAAGACTTTATTTTGACCGACTGAAGTAAAGGAAATCTTTTTTTTCTCCTCTCCGGTCACCTAAAGACCATTCTTTGCAATAGTCTTTGACTTCCAGGGTATTTATATAGAATTCCTCTTGTTCCATCTCAAAAACCATTGGGCACGGGACTTTGCTTCGAAGGGCACGCCAGGGACCACGCCGGAATTCCGGCGGCGCTGCGGGACCGGCCACCGGTGGATTCGGCTCGAGCGGTGAAGTGAACGCGATGTTGATGAGGCCGTTCGAGAGAAGAGTGGGGGGTGAGAGTGGGGGGTGAAACATGGATGAACCACATGAGCATATGTGAACATACATGAAGATGAACATACACTCACTGCATCACTGCATCACACACCTACTAAACGGAGCGCTTGAGTGGGACTGTGAGCCGCCCAATGTCCACCAGAGCCAGGCGTTCCTGGGCGGATGATGGTCGGGTCCTGCAGTGTGGCCCTACAGGTCGACCTTTTTGACCCTAGTAAAACCTGGTCCTGAGTGTTCTCCTTAGTGCAAGTGTTTTTCTGTCCATGATCTGCTCCAGTGGGATGATGTCTTTGACCTGTAGGGTTTTGATTTTTGCCTCAGTTTGGAAGTCACTCCCCCTTCGTCTCGTAGTTTACAGATGGCTCCCAAATCCTCGCCTTAACTCCTTCAGATGGGTGTGTATAAATGCGTGTAATTTTGGAGACCTCCCATAAATTGACCCCCCTGGACCCAGTAGTTATCAACGAAGCGCTGTCCTAGCTTGGCCGCCGTTCCTGGACCATCTCCACCAAGGCAATCGGCCGACAGCCCCATAGGCCTCCAGAATATATTTTGTGGGAGCAGTTTTGGGTCACAGCTTGTAATCCGGTCCCAGCTACCCGATCTCGTCGAGCCAAACCCGTCACCTCTGGTCATGCCCTTCGGCCCCTTGTGTGGTCGATCGATTCCTCCCCCGGTGGAGAAATCGGCTCACCCTGAACCGGGCGAAGCCTGGGCGAAGCCGAGAAGATGGGGCATCAAAAGCAAAAGGGTCATCTGAAACCGAGGCCATGCCATCCACTTCCATGACTTTCAGGGAGTTTAGCACTTATCAATTATAATATTGATATATACACTCCCGAAAACTAACATAGACCCTGACAATGGCCCCCTGGAAGAGTGTGTTCCTCTACCAACCAGTGGTTTTCAGGGTCCATGTTAGTTTTCCAGGGTGTATATATATATATGATCATCATCAGACATCCGTGTGAACAGAGTGAATGGGTGTGCAGCAAGGGAACACCTCATGGGAAGAAAGGACAGATGGGTTTGGTTTCAGGGCAGGGTGGGCGGACCTTCTCTTCATCATTTGTGGTACTTGCGTTTGCCAAGTCCGTGTTTCACTGAAAAAAAGTGCACCCTAGAAGTGCAAAGACTATCTTTTACCCAACTGACGCAAGGAAGTTCCTCTTTGGGTTGCTCTTAAAAACTGTCTTGGACTCCGAGGGTGGGCTTGGGTGATGGTCTAAGCGTTTTTGCTTTCCGGAGCGGCCAGGCTCTCCGGGGTGTCTCCTTTGGCGCGTGCGAGTGCACGCTCCAAGATTGAGGCTCCCTGCGCGATGGGTAGCCGGGTGACCGGGTTGGCTTTTCTCCCCTTGGCCTCAGGCAAAGCCTGGGTCCGTTGGGCTTAATTGTTTTGTTTGAGGTCATTTTCTTGATTGAAAAGGTTTGGTTCAGTGTTAATCATTTGTGAATTGGCTATTGCTTGAGGGGACGGGTCTAGGGCAGTCTAGGGCGTGCAGAGCTCTTCCAGGGGAAGTTCCGGTTCGAAGTTGTTTGGTGTGCCACGGATGGGGAGCCACGGATGTGATCCGAATGGACACAGGATGTGGAGAAGATCTTCAAGGAGGCGGATGCCAATGGTGATGGCTTGTGGCTTGGAAAGTGAATTTGATCCAGCAAATTGGCTAGCTTGACCATGTTGGTGTGATGGGGGTAGGATCTGAAACAATCACCAAACAAAGAAAACACATCTTGGTTCAGGGTCCGTTGGATCTTCTGAAGGATGACTTCTACTTAAAGTCGTCCTGAAACAGGGAAAACTCACGGAACCAATGCTTTCACGGGACGTGTTTAGGTTTTGGTGACCATCCAACGGGCACGACGAGGGACCACACTGCTGATGGCCTCCGGCCTCCTGCTTCACGTCTTCCTCTTGCACAGCAGGATTTCTCCCAACAGTCGCAAGACTGTCGCTTCAGACAGCAGCCTACCAAGGCTCTCGTTGGAGGAGCTGCGCCGCCAATCTCGTGCGTGAGGTGGTGTGATACCCGCTTAGCGGGACAGGATTGCTGATCAGCAATCATCAACCAAGGTCTCTAACCAACCAAAAGGTCTGGCAGCATCAAGGTTGGTCATGATGACCAAGGTCAGCATCAAGGTCATCAAGGTTTCCTTTTGAGTAGAGCATGGCAGCATCCGTTGGAGGGTTCGCAGGGTGACACGCCTGACTGGGCTTTTGCAACTGCAGACGCTGGGCTCGAAGTGAAAGGGGTGATCATGTGAGGAATCAGCCTGCTTGCAACGCCTGTAGAACACCAACGTGAAGGTTGAAGACCCCGCTCTTCCAGGCGGAATGTTTGCAGGTGGGTCAGTCTTAAGAAAAGCCAGGGCTCATGGCTTTGAACCAACTGCACATATAAGCCAAGGAGGCACGCTTTTGGTTTACACCACATGTGCAGTAACAACATCCTCACAGACCTCAGAGAGGGTATGATTATCAGTTGAGATTCTCACAAACACAAGCCAAAGACTCTTAATGGACTTCACCAATTCTACCCAACAGAACTTATATAATGGAAACCACATAGCCTTAGTTTTCCCCCTCTGCCCACGATGGCCCTCCATAGCTCTAAGTGCCGATTCGCTGCCACGATCCGCAGCTTGGCGGGAATCATCGTTGGCTGCATTGCTGCAGGGGCTGAGACGACTAGGACGAAGACTCCTCATCGGCGTTTGGACTAGAAGCCAGCCTCTGCCAGAACCCCCTAGTATAAGGGGTTTCGATTGATAGCTCCCTTAGAGGTGATTCGGGGTGTCCTGTGGGTCCTGGTGGTGGCTCACAAAGACACCACCAGTTGTTTGCCACTCTTCCTTCAGTCACGGTCCTGGGAGGCAGCGTGGCGGACAGAGGAGGGAAGGAGAAGAAGGACTACGCTGTACAGTCCGTGAGAAGGACCAAAAACCACCAGCTCGTCTGACTTGATCGAGGGTGTTGGGTCATTTTCGTTCCTTCCCAAGTCTGAAGCGCCCATATATAAAGGGTCAGGGTCTGTCTTCATTCTTCGCCCCCTCACCAAGTCTGGCCGACTTCTCCGACTCTTGGGGTTGTTCGTCCCCAAGGCTTCGCCCTGCTGGACGTCGATGGCGTCTGCGTCCAGGGCACCACGGCCATTCAGGGCTCGGCTTGGGCGCTGGGAAGGCTGCGCGCCTTGGTCCCATGGCCCGGCGCGGAGGAGGGCGGGTGACTGCTCGGGGTGGGGTGGTGGATGGCAGGGTGGGGTAGTGGGTAGTGGGTGCTTTTAACTGTTTTGTGTTTTGAACGTTTGGTTGGTGTTTCGCAAAGAAGGTCCTTTTGACGCTTTGAATCGTCTTCTTGATGCCTTCAAATGATTTTGTTTTTATCCGGGCAGCTCGAGGGGGGTTTGTGATCGGACTGGGGTCCGTTATGGACCTGGTGTGCTTGTATGCAAGGTGAGATCGGAGGGTTTACCAAATGGAAAGAATATGCCCGGCCGAAGCGCATGATTGGGGCAGATAGGCTGCGATCACATATTTTCCGAGGAATGTGGCATGATTGGGGAAGTTGCTTGGGTCTCTGTGTGGCTCCTTTTAAGAAGCGGCTGTTTGTCTTGCAATGAATTGGATTGTCGACTTTCCAATCCCGGAGCCTTTGCTTTCGGACACTGGAAAAGACGTGGCCCATGCCTTGATCACCCGCTGTCTCTTGTGGCTCAAACCGGGCTCAAACGGTAGAGGCTTCGCCGCTTTCCAGAGGCTTCGCTGCTTCGCGTTGGCGCCGAATCTGGTCCAAAAACCACCGGTTCTTCACGCCATGGCTCGTTCTCCGTTGGCTCCTCTGATGGTGCTGCTGGCCGCCTGTGTCCTGGTCGCCCAGCTCAGCAGCTCCTTCGTGCCAACACCCCAGGTGGCACAACGCCAAGAGATGCAGCAGGCATGTGGGGGTAGTGCGTATGCGGGGAATGGGTGGATCTCGATGTGTTGCGCATATATATATATATATGCATACATGATGTACAGTAACTAAGGTACATACACAGATTATTGCTGTATCTAAACAGTTGCTAAGGGTGACTCACGGACAAATACGAGTGAGCCAGGCAAATTATGTAGGCTCTTCATTTTGGGACGTTCCAACTGGGGGTTTGACGTGTTTTGATAGACACCCACATTGCAGCCATCTCTAGCTCCCAACTATTCACAACTGTCGGAACCAGGCCTCAGTCAGAAGATCCACTGGAGTATGCCACTGCACTCGTGGATATTCACAGGTTCTTTTTTCTTGCCTCGTGACGTGGATAGCGGCACAATCCATGAAAGCCGTCCACCCCACTGGGCTGAAACATGCACTGAACCACTGGGCTGGGCTCCGCCGTCCACCTGGCCGTTCCACGTCTCAGGCCCAAGCTGCGCTCGTGGCATCGGTGAGCGGCCTGGCCGCTGCTTCGGTGGCTGAGCCCGCGTGGGCCGCACGCGTGGAGGAGGATGACGAGGGATTCGATCTGCGTCACCCGGAGAAGGTCACTGACCGGGTGGAGATGCGGGAAGAAGGATGGCTTTCATGATAGAAGGAGTGACAGCATCGTCTCCGGAATTGGGGGCCAGAAGGAATTTCTGGAGAGGGCCGACCTCCACCGACCCCGTAGAGCGATGTTTTTCTCCTTTTTCCTGCGGAGGTGAGGTGAACAAGGCTCAACATGGTGAGGAAATTCGCGACGGTGCGAATCCGAACAGGAGAGATCCCAGCTGCGAAATGCATGCCGAAATGCATGCCTAGAGAGATTGAACAGACCAGCCTCTAGCCTACCCCATGTATGTACCCACTGTACCACATACTATATAATATATAGGTTCCCAATAATGTCTATCAACCCTAAAACTTGGTCACTGGTGAGGGATTTTCGCCTTACCAACTGCCGAGGTATCCTGGCAGTCCTGGCCCTGCCGTTGTTCGCCGTGTCCTGGGCCCTCTTCAACGTGTGGCGTGTGGCCTTCCGTCAGGCAGACCGCGTGGCCAGGGACGTTCTTGTTCTGTCGCTGGGAGCCACCCCCCCCTGGGGGGTTTGGGTTTGTTGGCGGGGAAGACGGGAAGAACGCACAGGTCACCAGGTGAATCTGGTTCGGGTACAGCGGGTACAGGCTTCTTCGGTGTGAGACTCACCGAAATGAAGGTTGGAAAACAGCATGTGGAATTTGAACCACCTCTTCGTGTGGAATTGGAACAACATGTGACTCAAGAAGTCACAATTCGGATTGAACTAACCTCTTCATATGAGGTTTCATGCATGAATTAATCTTTACATCAATTATATATTGGTCATTCAATGGATTCCAGTCTCAGGATGAATTGGGAATTGGGAATCCTTTGGGCCTTTGGCATGGGTTTCGCTGTGGGTTCTGGCCCACAGCGTTCGAGAAAGCAAGACCGGTAGTAGTGGTTTTGAGGATTTGGGTCTTTTTCATGACCCTTTCGAGTGCCATGCATCGACCACACTCTGAGTGCCACAAGTTGTCCTACCAGGGCTTTCTATGCGACGTTCCCATCGACCACACTCTTAAGCCCCCCCCTGATCAGGTGCACCCAACCTGCACGGCCAACCGCATGTCGGCCGTGAGGTGGTGCGCATCGGCGAGAGTGAGAAGGGCAACCCTCTCTGAGCGCCTTCAGTCGCCACTGCGTGGCTGGAGTCGCCATGCAGCCGCGTGATCTCTACACGCCGAGATTTTTGTCGTTGGTCTCTCCTTGCTGAGGGGGCTCCTTTGCTCGCCCCCTCAGTGATGTCACGCGAGGTCTTAGCGCCTTTGGATCGAGTTTCGAAACATCCTCAGCGATTTCTACCGGAGCCATCGCTAAAAAAGAGGTGAGGGATGTGGCTGAGTGGGTCGGAACAGGGCAGGTATTTGGTGGCCAGACCACAGTGGTCAGAGCTGGGAGGAGGAAGGTAGTCTGGGGACAACAGCACCATCTTGTAGGTGTGGCCCTGGACTGCCCGAAACAACCTCAAAGTTTGGAGCTTTTCCATTGATGTATCAACTAAAACGAAATATATATATATATATATAAAATATTTAACCCTGCGGATTGTTCCGCCGGCCCAGTTTGGCTCTGAGCGGGGCCAGGGCCATGCCCACTCGCATAAAGAACCATATCCAACAAGTAGGCGCAAGGAGAGGGGAAGGACGGGGGAGGGGGGGGGAGGGCGGGAGAGGGAAGGGGGGGGGCGGAGGGGGGGAAGTTAGACTTGTCAAAAATCCGCGCCGGGGTACAATTAGACTAAAAACAAAACTACTACTAGGATAGCATACAAACCAATCACCTAAAACACGCCGCGCCCAAGGGCCGGCGGATTATGTATATCTAGGGTCATTTTCGGGGATAGTCCCAACCCTTTCAAGAAAGAACTTCAGATTCAGATCGACCACAAGTGTCCTGGATGCAAGAAGCCACCGATGCCCACTCGCTAAGGCCAACGGGTGAAGGCTTATCGCTTGATCACCAACCAGTCCCAGGATCGTGGTGCTGGATCTCATGCGCGAACGCGCGAACGCGTTCGCCGGATGCGCTCAGATCAAGGTAGGCTGTCTCATGCTGTTGGATTGCCAGGACCCACTGAGAGTCTAGTTTGTCAACCTAGCAGTTCAGCTGTCAATCAGTTTAGTGGACCAAAGGCCTGGAAACACCTGCACAGGAGGCTTGTTCCTCCGTCATGCGCAAGTTGCAAAGACTCAACTTCGACGTGCGCACCTCGCCCTCATTGGGCCCTGTTCGGCGGGTCGGAAGCTCCGCCATTTCGGGACCGGCTTGCTTTCGTGGCCTGGGGGAGAAGTGAGCTGCCCTTTCGTAAGACTCTTTTGGAAGCTCGGTCTTAAACCCTCGCGAGCTCTGTCCAAAGCGTGAGCTCGGGCTCGGTCGATGCCGCTGCAGTGCGCCTTTCCCGCACCGCGGCCGCGGCGCGGGTCCCTCAGGTCCAGGTGAAGTCTTCAGCGCGTTGAGCGCAGCCCGAGCGCTGGTGGAGCAGCAGCAGCTGAAGCCGCTGTGTCTTTTGGCACCCGAAGCCATGGAGGAGCTGGTCTGGGCGGAGCTGGAGGCTGTTTTGGGTGGAACGTTTCCTAGCAGGAAAAGGAGGTGCAGCGGTGACCATAAAGCTGGGGATGATAAGAATGCCGTTGAGCCTGAATTTGTAAGTTGAAGCGACTCCTGGAAACCCAAACAACCAGAAACAAATGGTTGTTCCAATATGGCAATTGAAATCCTTTACATAGGAAATGGCTGTTTGGGGAAACATCCATTTGTTTCTGGTTGTTTGGTTTGCCAGGCTTGCATGCTTGTCTCCGAGTGTCCCTCTTTTGAACCTGCCTTGTTCCTCCTCTCCGTGGTTGCCCCAGGAGTTCCAAGACTTCCCCGCGAGTGAAGCCACCGCGGTGGTCGTGGGCACGGCGCCTTTGGCCCAGAACGGCGCGCTTCCACACGGGGCCGGTGGCGGTGCTCGGGGTGAGCATTGGGTGAAGCCCCCGGGGGCCGCGACGAATGCCGCGTGAGCGCTGGAGGATTTTGGTTGGGGGTTCGGGTACGAAGGACTCACAGGCGACCGGATGTCATTTGGAGACCGTCCGACGTGCTTTTCCACGTGTCGCCCCGGACGTCGGGTCGTTCACCGCAACGGAGCCGCCCGCCCCGAGGCCCCGCAGCAGATGCACTACGCGCGGCTGACGGAGGCCATGCGGGTGCTGCTCGAGAAGGCCTGGCGATGTCGGCGGTTTGCGGTTGGGTGAGGGTGGCTGTTGGGCGGGAGGGGTGGGCGATGGTTCTGGAGGTATTTATCATCGAATCATGTAAGGTCTTTCCCAAGAAGTTGCCAAGTCTCTTGCGATTTTAAAACTGTTGCAGCGTGGCCACCTGTTTCAGGGTTGCGAGCCGTCGAAACCACCGAACGTGGCAGCGTGGCTGCGAATTGACGAGCATGAGATTCCGAACGAGAAGAAACGAACCCGGAGGATCCTCTCCAGGGTTACCAGAGCTTTCAAGCAGGGTTCCAACTTCCATGTGGTCGCTTTCTGGCCTTTTTTCTGAGCCCTTGAACGTGGCCTGACAATTGGATGGCCTGTCGAATAGCTCAGCGTTATCAGAAAGCACATGGCATCGGGCTTCACGGTTGAGGCCAAACACGCTCAAAATGGAACTTGCAGAGGTTTTGGGAATTGACTTGGCCACATAAAGTGATCGAACATGCCACAAAGACAGTTTGCCTGGCAGTCAACTACTCCCCTGACTCCCAACAGAGCACAGTGGAAAGGCAGCCTGTGGTAGAGGAATAGATCCTTTTGGAGGGATGATGGCATCCACTTCGAGATTGGTGAGTCAGAGTATGCTAATGTGCCAATGGGCCAACCCAACCACAATCAACAAGAACCACCTGTCAACGCCCAGGAGGGTGAGCTGATTGCTGCCCCTTGTCGTGGACAGCAGGGGGGATGCTTTTCCAGAAGCCCAGTTTCCAAGGATTTTGAAGAATATACTTAAGCTTGATGGCTGAATAAGTAATACACTGCAACTGTAGAAAGTAGTAATGTCAGTGGATGTCAAAGGTTCCTGAAACGAGTCAATCTCAGATGTTCTCGAGTGGTCCCTGTTGACACTCATCATCCACACAGGAGGGGGTGCTGCGGACTCAGCACCCGTGCCATGCGGGGAGGACGACCTCTACCGAGGTGAGTCCGCAGATTCTGCCGACCAGCCGAGGTGAACAAGGGCCGCTACTTCCGTGAGGCGGGGGAGTTTCAAATGATGGCCGGTCCCTTTGTGGCTGCGTTGGAGTATGCCACAGGCAGGGCCGGGACCACGTTGCTTGCGACAGGAGGCCAGACCACTTGGTTGGACTTGGACAGGTGCGACGACTGAAGAGCGAAAGGCGAATTCAATAGGGGAGTTGCTGAATTCTCAGATGTGTGATGGCTCAGTCTCAACAAATGGTGCACCATGAATTTACCATATCCCAGATCCATCCGGACGTGTTGAAACCACCCTTCCCTCATGTTTTGGATTGTTTTGGAGGCAAATTAGCGAGGGTGGTGGGCAAGCCGTGCCTCGGCTTTGGATCGAGTGCTGGCCGAGTGCATTCGGTTGACGGGTCGGAATAATGAATAAAGCACTCACCAACAGGGCGTGATTGGTTGCAGGCAGGCAGGCAGGCAGGCAGGCAGGGAGCTAGCTAGGTAGGTAGGTAGGTTGGTTGGTTGGTTGGTGGAATAGGTGGCAGGTGCAGCATCCACAATTTATTGGATGCTTTTGTTACTCAACTTTGGGGTGCAGGTGCGCATGATGGTGTCCGCTCAGCGAAGTTCTTTGTCCTTGGCCGCCTTGGCCCCCTGAGTGTTCCATCCAAGTGAGCCGGGGGCTTTGTCCCACGCGCAGCAGTGCATGTTCCCAACGCGTGGCGTATGTGCGTGCGTTCCTGAATGACCATCTGGGATCATCATGAAGGTTCGTGATAGGGGGTATGCTTGACCTAGGGTAGGGCCCCCCCCCCAGATCCACCGGCCCGGCCCCTAGGTCTCTCGATGCCATGGGTTCGGTATGCTTCACCGGCGCCCAGGAGCCCCGACTTCTTCCACTGCGTCGCCTCCGCCGCGCACGGGGACGCCCCCTATCGCGCCGACGCGGTGGTCATGGTAGGCCGGACGGCCGGTGCGGCTCGGAGCCGATGGGTGTGATCTGAGGTGTCAGGACCTTGACTCCTTGACCTTTTTTTTGTTGCCCTTATATATATATATATACTAGAGTGAACCCGGCCAAGTCATGAGGTTTTGCCCTAGGGTCACGGAGTCCTATGTCATGAAGCTGAAGTTTGAAAAACCTCAAATTCAGAGACAATGATTTGTCAGAGGTTGTCGCCAAACTGGCCTATGTCATGAACGTTTGCCATTTGCCATTGAAATGGTGAATTTCACACCTCTACATGACTTAGGACTTTCCCTGGAAGAGTTGTATGTCATATCGGGCCACTTTGGCCTCAGTCATCTGACCCCGACCCCAGCATAAATAGCATTAAATTGCCCAATCGTGCCTTGGTTGCCCCATTGGGCCTTGGCGTCCCCATCTGCATGCAGGGGACGACGTGCGCGATGACATCCAGGGGGCGATGGATGTGGGAATGCAAGCCATCTTGGTGCGCACTGGTGCCTTGGCTTGCAGTGCTTCCCCAGTCAGTGGATGACCGTTTTGGGGATTGGTTTGCCCATTCGAATGGAACTGGCTTTTGGTGCCTTGCCTGTTGCAACCCGCCAGCACCGGTGAATTCCTCGGGGGAGTTTCGAACACTCCAAGGCCGCAAGCCACGACTTGGGGGGATCCTGTTTGGAAGAGAAAATGTATGAAACTCCTCACCCCTCTAATGCCCACAAACCATGCTCAGACCGATTTCATCTGATTTCCATCGTCGGCGTGAGGCAAATATCGTCCTGGAGATGAGAAGCTCTGCCGAACACCGCCGCTGGCAGTGGTGGATTGAACCTTGGACAGATGTTCCCGCCCGGTGACGAGCCATCCACAAGCCCCGAGCTGTCCACGGGAAGAAGCCCCAAAGAAGCGAGCCTTATAGAAAGAAATTGGACTGGTGGACGAGCACATTGCATCACTGTAGGTGTTCAGAAGGTTGGACATGAGACTTTTGTTTGAGGCAAGGCCTTTGGACCCCCAAATGCCACAAAGTCTCACGAATTGCGGGGGGGGGGAGAGAAAGATCAGCCACAGGCGTCGATCCGCCACGTCCATACGCGGCTCCCGCCCTGAGGCCTGGCAGATGCAGTGGCCTTTCTCGAAGAGAAGGGCTTGCTGGAGGAATAGCTTGACCTGACCCACTAGCACCACGCTTTGAAGCGTGGTTCATGGAGGTTCGCTGATGTGGGTCCTCCCAAGCCTCCCAACCCTTCCAAAAGCAAACACCCATCCTTTTGGCAGGTGCTTTGGCGATTTTCTCTTGTGTCGATCACTCCTCAGGTGAGCGAGGGGCCAGGAAGTTGGGTGGCAACAAGCCAGCGAAGAAGTGGTAAGGCTTGTAAGTGATGATGCCCTTGATGGCCCAAAACTGATCTTGATTGGCCAAGCCAATTTCTAGTCAGGATTTTTCCGATGGCCACGCGCAGACGCGAGGGCAGGGGCCGTGTGAAACAAGCCCTGCAGCTACAAAAGGTCGTGCCTCAACCAGGGTTGCGACATGTCTTTTGTTTGACTCGACTGTGGGTTTCTGTCATGGCTCACTGCGAGCATCATGATGTTGCCCATCAAGTTGCGCTTGGGGCCTGGATGTTTCCAATCGATCCACCGATCCACCTCTGGAGAGGGACTCCGAGCTTCGGGGGATGACCCTTGGTTCTCCACCCAAGCGATGGGCGAACCCAGAGAGGGATGCTTGTTGCCGGTTGATCGGCGAGGAGCTGAGGAGCTACTTGGGGGATTACCTGGGCTATGGCCAGGCGGAGATTAGGCCGAAAAGGGCCCGTGGTGGTGTCAAACGGCAGGGCGGAGGGCGGTTGCTGTTGGGGGAAGAGATCTGGATGGGTGAGCACATTGATGTAATTCCACTCAACAAGGTCTTTTTCAGGAACGGTGTCCCTCTTTCCTTTTGAGCTGGTGTGAGCTGGCAGGTCTATGTGTTAAATGCCATGGGATGGAAGCAGATTGAACGAGTCGCAAGAGGAGTGAAGACTTCCAGTTCTCCAAACTCCGCGCAGTGGAGGTTTGAGGAGTTCAATTGTTGTGCAGGTTTGCTTCTAGAACATCCTAGCATTGAGCCCCTTCTCGTTTAATTCAGTCATCCTTTGATAGTTTCATCTGGTTCACCACGCCACAGTGGTGATCTCATTCACCACCGGCCGCCCAGGAGGCCAAAGACTCCTCTCGGCGCCGCCCACACCGAAGGCGCCGAACCCCCCCGTTGGACTCCCCAGGGACTTCTTCGAGGAGTTCAAGGCAGAGGCGGCCACGCGCACAGCGGGGAGCGGACGTTGAGTGCGCCCAAGGTGCACCTGGCGGGGCGCACTGAGGGGAATGCCGATGAAGGTCGTGGCTGCCCCTTTCCCTCCCAAGGAAGCTTGGACATGGAATCCGTACTCAGGGTGCGGGTGTGAAGATGACATTTTTGTTCACTTTGGCCAGTTGTCGAAGCACCTTTGAACTGCCTGTTCAGTTGTGGCACAGTTGAAACGACCTTCTCAGGGAACAATTCTGAAAGAAAAGCCGGAGCTTCGCTGCGCTCTGTAGGAAGAGAATGAGGGAAGATTGTATTCCTCAACGGCATCCTTGCCTAAGTGGTGTCTATAAACCAGCCTGACGGTCCGGTCCTAGCATGGCCTAAAAGGGTATGGCCTTGCTACACCAGATGTTGCTTTAGTGCATGGGTCTTTGCCCAAGACCATGCATCCTATTACGTGAAGAGAAGAACCATGTACTTCAGATGATGATGATGAAGAAGAAGAAAGAAGAAGGAACAAGGAAGAAGGAAGAAGGAAGAAGGAAGAAGGAAGAAGGAAGAAGGAGGAGGAAGAAGAAGAAGACGGGGTATGTGTATTATGTATATATAAATATATATATATATATATCTATATATATATGATGTGTACCAATATATCTTACGTGCGTGTGTACATACCTGGACAGAGAAGAGCATGTACTGGTATGCGCTCCAGGCCGGACAGGTGGACCTGCCCGGGCTGCAGACGGGTGCGGGGCCTGGAGCTGGGGTTCGTCCGGATGACATGCCTGCTGTTGGGGTTTGGATGTTGGGACTCCTTGAATGGGAGCCTTACTTGGCGGCTCCGACACTGGACCCCACGACTCAGCACCGGATGACCACCTTTTCTTTGGTTTTTGAGCTGGTGTGGTTTTGCCCATGGGTGTGCCAACGTTTTGACTGCCGCTCAGCTCGAGCTAAGCAGCTATACGATAGCTAGTAGCTAAGTCGCTGTGTGGAGCGCATACCGCGGCCGAGATGCTGTCGCGACTGCTGAGGGGCAATGTCTTGAGCTCAACCCTTGAGCTCTGCAGCATGCCGGGTCCGCCCCTCCGTGGCTTCTCGTCCGCCCGGGTCCGCGCGGGGTTGGGAGTGAAGATGCAGAGGCAGGGTGCACAAACGAGCAAGGAGCACTCGCAGCTTGGTGCCAGCTTGGGCGTGCAGATCTCAAGGATGCCTCCACCACCTTTGCCACCCCCACCTGCTTCAGCTCCTCCACCAGAGTCGCTCCCGGAGCCTCAGAGCGATGAGAATGAAGTTGGTGGGGAGGAGGAAGGAGTGAACATCACCATCAACTGCGCTTTCATACAGATTTTCGGGACCGAATGAGGCTGCCGTTCTGTGGTCTTTGTGAGGCAGCCGTGGGTTTTGCTGCTCGGTGTCGTTGCGGGCTTCGGAGGCCGCACCCGGCCGCACCCGGCCGCACCCGAGCTCGTAGTTAGAAGGGGCTCGGTCCAGAGAGAGGGGGCTGAGGCGATTGACCTAGGTGCATGTTAGGCAGAAAAAAGCTGCTGAGGAAGCACACGGTTGGTTCGGAGTGTGGGTGGTTGCAGGCTGCACCAGGCTGTAGGGGGTCAACGTTGGAGTTGCGGGGGTCCATCTTCGTTGGTCACGGTTCATAGGACCTGTATCCATGAGGGACCCCTTGCGTGACGGTGCTTATTGGGGCAGGGAGGCTCCTTGTATGGCCCGTGGTTGGTGAGGGGTACCGGGGTACCTCGACGGAATTGGGTCGGACGTCCAGGATCTCTCCCAATTTGAGGAAGACGTCGATCAAGCAGATGCTTCGCTTCTGCTTCCCATGCCAGTCATTCACAGATGAGCTCCTGCACCTGTGAGCCAACTGATGGCCACTGCCTGTGTGCACAGTCATGGCACGGTCAGCCAGATCAGCCGTACTTTTACCGGCATGTTGGTGGGCGTATATACATTGGAACAGGAAAGCCTCTCTAACCACCGTGTTTCGATGCAGGGTGTTGATTCAGGGTCCCTATGACAATGCACACCCGGGTCAAACCACAGTTTAACCTACGAGGTGCTCATTTTGCGACCTTCGCGACTTGAAAGGCTTCCCAGCCTCACCCGCCGAGGCTTTCCGCGCCCGGTGCTCCCGGGTGAACACGCGGGACACCGCGCGATGGGGCTTGGTGGGAGAAAGGGCACCAGTTTTTCTAGGCAAGGGCCAGATGTCCATGATCCTTTGAGAATCTCAAGCCCAATCCAGGACCTTTCCAGTGATCTTTCGAGATCCCAGTGGTCACTTAGACTTGTAAAAGGTCCCTTGCCAATCCTGAAGTTCAACTTTAGAACAGGTTGCTCAAGCCCAACGCAGCTTTTCTACGACTGCAGCTGCAGCAACATATTAAATGCCTAGCTTTTCGTCCCCCTTGGGACTCTTCAGGGCTTTGCAGCCGCAAATGCGGTGTTCAATCACATGCCTAGGCATCGCGTGTTCAATAACCTAGGCAAGTGCAAACTGGACATGAACAATTCTTTTCACAGGGAAGGTCAACGATTCCACGAAGCCTCCGATGCGATGCTTCGTCCGAGGCTTGAACCCGTACCTCATCGGCAAGCGGAAGGGCTGCACCGTGTGGCGGCAGCCGGGCGCGGCACGGGGGTCCCAGGGCGCCCAGCGTTGAATGACCCGGCTCATTTGACCTCATCTGGAAGTGACCCTCCCTGGAACTATGTGGAAGTGAATGGCCGGGGCCTCCGGAAATACACGTTTCCTTTACAGACCAGGGGTGTTCCACTTCCATGTTATAGTTCCAGGATGGGAGGGGGAAGCTCTGACTGAAGAAATTGCAAAATCACAGAGCATAGAACCTGTTGAGAAGAGATTTCTTTCCTGTCGTTGCATGGGGCATGGCAACCCTAGGTATGAATGACAGTTGTAGATCCACAGAGACCTTCCAGATTTGTTTGATGTGATTGTGCGGTGACCGCCCATGAGTCGGGGGCTTGATATGTGTTACCAGGGCAGTTAGTCTGTCAACAGTTGGGGGCCTCAAGGCTTTTCGATGCCGTGCATTGCTGAGGTTTGCGCTCCCGGCGCGCAAATGAACATAGAGGATGCGGATGGGGCCGGGAGTGCTCCGAAATGGGCGGCTGAACGGGAGGTCGGAGAGGCTACCCGCAACAGAGCTTAAACCTCTTTTCTTTCTGTGTGACCAGGTGGTATCATTGACCACCGGTATGGTGGCAACTGCTATGAAGCTCGGATCGAGGTCCCTCCCCTGATTGAGGATCACTCTCTTTTCCCTGTTTCCAGACAAGAAGAGGTCCCTTCCCAGCTTGAACCAGAGTGGCGACTTGAGCCAAAAGGGGCTACAGAGATCATCCGTGCGCCAGGATTTGGTGGATTGCAAGGTCTACGTGTGCGATCGCACGGAGCAGACCTTCGTGGATGAGTGCGGGGGCCCGAGCAGGGAGCAAACGGGAGTGTAGTGAGGGAGAACCAACCCCTTCAGATTATGCTGATGTGTATTGCTGGTCAGGGGTCGACTCTACTCCGGAGGGTTCTGAACAGCAAGCACATGGTTCGTCTCCACGGACCGCCTTTCATTTTCAACAGCCATTTTTTCCACAGGGCGAGGCCCCGAAAATGGACAGGATTTTCCAGGAAGATCCCATGGGCCCTTCTCCATCGTTTTCCATCCATGCCATCCGCTAGAAATCGGCCGATTCCATGCCGCTTCCGTGCCTCGTATGGCCTCGTTTCGGGCGCTTCGACCGGCCGCGGGTGCAGGGACCGGCCGCTTCGGCTCAGGTTCGGGCTGCGAGGTGCTGATCGGCACCTGTGAAGGGGCGACCTTCGTGAGGGATTGCCGACAGTGCACCTTCTGGGTGGCCACAAGGCCGGAGGAAAACCAAACACGTAAAGGCTTTTTCCACCAGCTGTGGGGTGGATTGTGAGAGAGAGAGAGAGAGAGTAGAGAGAGGGCTTTTGATGGTTCTATTATGTTCTATTGGAAGTGGGTTGGGAGTGGGTGTTGCTGATTGTTGGGGCCCCGCCAGGCAACTCCGCACCCGGAACTGTGTGGCACGGGGCCCCATTCTTCGGGAGGCACGCGCGACGAAATGATGCGACCAGATGAGGAACACCCAGAGGGCTCCCGCCACCTCCACCGATGGCTCGTGCGAAGCGGACCTGGATCCCGGACGCAGACGTGGGGGCGTCCGCGGCCGAGGGATGCAACTTCTTCCTGCACAGCCACACGGAGCCCATCATCGAGAGTTCCAAGGACCGAGCGGTGGTGGCAGAGACGGGTGGTGGACCAAGACTGGTTTTCACGCGAGGTTCAAGCTGACCGCAAGAGGTTCGCAGGTTCAAACGCGTCACTGTCAGGCTGTCAGGTTTTACAAGAATATCCATCGGACTGCTTGAGCAGGCAGAAGGCAGACACCACCCACATTCTTTCATATTCCTTCCATTCACGAGGACGAATAGACTTCTTCCGTTCCTGTTGGGTCTTTGGCTTGTCCTCGTCCTCAGCTCCATCGTCCACGAGCGAAACGGTTGCGATGCCCTTCCCGACTCAACACCCTGATACTCCGTTCATAGCTTTTCTACGCGCACAGATATATATATATATATATACCCTAGAAGTCGAACCACCATTGTTTTAATAGCCTATACGGAACAACCATTGTTTCACTAAGGGTTTTACACTACAAAGCCAGATCAACCATTTTTAGAATGGTCTTTGACTTCGAGGGTATACATCATGTATATACACCTACACCCCTACATTAGGGTGTTTTCGGAGGTCAACGTAAGCATAAATGCCACGCATGGAGTGTCTCCTTTCCCGCAGGACTTGGGCTTTGCACCTTTCGCGGCTGGGGGCCTCATATGCTCGCGAGATGTTCGGGAAAGGCAGGATCCGCGCAGATGTGGCGAATTGGGGTGGAGATTATGCGTGGAGAGTGGAGAGGATGCTCGAGTGCATGTTGTATGTGGAGATGTTTCTTCAAGTCTTCAGTGTGATTTGGGAGGGGTGTGGGCTGTGTTTTTCAGTTCCACCCGGTGAGCCAGTGGCTGTCAGTGGTTTCGGGACATTTGGCAAAGCGGCTCGGCTCACGGAGAGAATCAACTCTCAATGGTTCAAGGGAACATTTGCAGGAAACATAGTTTTTGGGGTGAACACCATGGGTTTCCTGTAGACTTTCTATTCAACCAATTCTTGGAAACTCTACAGGCTCGAGAAGACCGGTCCTTCTAAGGCTTTGACGCACTCATGGACCTAGCTCATCGCTTCCTGTTTTTTTTTTGGGGGGGGATTTCTGGGTTCTTCGTCACTGGCGCCAGGGGTTCCTGGCGCTTTGTGGCGTCCTTGGACGCCCAAGGTAGGCCCCAAGAAAGCTGCCCCCCACGGCTGGGTGTGCTTCCGCCTGCTTCGTCAGCTCCTCCAAGGCCTCCTACCCCGGGCTGGCGCAGCATCTGAGCCAGGCCGCTATGGACCCAGGCACCCCCCGAAGTGAGGAGCTCTTGTGGAGTCGCTGAAGGGGTCTGGAGTGCTTTGGTGAGGTGTTTTCCTGTATGTTCCATGATGTTCCATGTGAATCCAGTGAATGCACCACATTCCCCCCTTCAATTTTCTTTATCCGTATCGTGTCGTATACGGCACCATCTCCCTTCAGCTCCTTGATCTCGGTCCGTCGGGAGGGCAGATGGGACCCAAACCACCAGCTGTTTGACACTAACGTCTCAAGACGGACGGTCCAACCCCTTTCGGACTCTGTTTTGGTCCCAAACGGGAAGGCTCCAAACGGAAGGCTCCGAGCTCCGACCGAGCTCCGAGCTCGAGACCGTCGAACCAACGAGACGTACCGAGACGGAGCGAGTGAAGGACCGAGTGAAGGACGCATCGATCGGATGCGAAGGAAGAAAGATGAAGGACGCCTTCCACTGTGGGAAGAGTACACTTTGGAGGTGCTCCCCCCATTGGTTGCCTTTCCCTTCTGGTCAGGGGATGGCCCAAAACCACTGGCCGCACCTTCCCCGACACCGCAGCTGAGCTCTTGATTGCTTTCGTAGCTTCTTCGTCGCCCGCTGTTCATTCTGAACCTGGATCGCCATGGCTCATCGTCTGGCAACCATTCAGCGACAGGCCGCCATCGGTCCGGGGAGATGGCAGCGAAGCCGCCCGTGAGGACCCAGATGACGAAGCTAGGGCCAACCCAACAGACCATAATATGATTATAAGTGGTATATATAATATATGTATATATGTATCTACTATATCCTTGGCTACTTCACTTCGTTCCTTGAGTTTCCAGGCTTGGTTTTGCTAGGAGTAACTGAGTTCCTTTTTTCCGGCGATGACCCCGAGGTTCAGGATGGTCACGCTCCGAAGGCAGAGAGACATGGATAGACCATGACCCAAACTGAGCAACATACCCTAGGGATCCAAGTACCTTCTCAGGTTCGGTTCGACTGGACCCTCCTGGCACCTGCAGAACAGTGTCTCCAATCACCTTTTGACAAGGTACTTGGATCCCATAGGAATACCAACATACATAACCAGCTGGTGCTCAGAAGTGACGGCTTGGATCACCGGGTGTTCATGTTTTTCCCCCACCTGTTTTGAGAGTTCCCTGGTTTGTCCCATCTCCACCTGGTAAGGACGTTGGACACAAGGAGAGCTCCAACCCCTCTCCACCGACCTTGTTCCGCCCAGATCCTGGCTGGCGACTGCGCCGTGAGTGGCGGTGTGGAGCCACAGGTGGTGGCGTCCAGCGAGGATGCCGACTTCGAGCGTCGTGTGCAGGAGATGAAGAGCTGGATGAGCCGCCTGGCTGGATGACGGGGCTCAAAGGCGGCTCAAAGGCGGCGGCTACTAGTCACGAGAAGCTACGCACGTAGCTAGCTACTAGGTGGAGGCCATGGGGTGGAGGCCGCGGAGGCCATCGCTATTAGGGTGGAGGTCATTACTACTAGGAGCAAGGACGCTACTAATAGCTCCCGGCCCTGCTACTAGTAACAAGAAGCTACTAGTGGCGAGGATTTGCTCAGAATTTCGGATGCTTTCGTAGGTCCAGCACCGGGCTTTCTGGCTTGCCTACTGTTTGAGCGTGATCATGCTATAGATGTTTCCAAATCCAACCGCCCCCCAGTCTTTCTGTCAGGCCGGGCCTTCTCTTGGAACATGAGGAGGTTGCTCCAGTGTCCAGTGTCCTCTGCCCCCGCTCGCAGCCTCAGACTGGCCGAGGCTCTGAGCGTTTCAAGCACACCACCCGGCCTTACAAGGTGGAGGACGTGGTGAAACTGCAAGGTGCCACCAGGGCCGCGCGAGGGGCTGCAAAAAGCCTCCCCTTTGAGAAGGAAGGAGGAAGGGGATGGCTGCGGAACTGAACACTCACTGAATAAAATCAAGCTGTCCCATGTATTTTGTCATTTGTGTTTGCAAATCCAAGTCTGGGTGGTCTTGGTGGATGGAATCCACTCCTCTGTGGGTTCGGTCTCCCTCTGCCACTCGGCACGCCAGGCACCTTCCCCCTGCAATTCGCCGGCGCCAAGGTGTCCGTGCCTTGGCAGCTTGCGACATCACCGGGGCGAATCCGCGGCGGCTGGGCGGATGGGGCCCGGTCGGTGTTGCTAAGGAGAAGCTCTACAAGATGCTGAGGGAACACCAGGCCAAGGGCACCTGTTCTCACACCTTTGGCGCGTTGGACACGGTGCAAGTGCCCCGGCCAGGGATGGGGGGGCTTGGTCTGGCAGAGGCAGCTGAGGCTCCAGGATTCGCCCCAAGGACTCTGTCGGGTCGCACTGTGTGTGGTATATTTGGTTTACATTGGGGTGGCTTCAGGGGTCAATGTAGGTAACTATTCCACATTATTCCATACATGGAGTGCCTGAGGGCCTGGGTGATGATCCATGGATCAGTCCTCTCAGGTCACTCAGATGGCCAAGTACTTGACCTCCGTGTACGTGAGCGGCTGGCAGTGCTCCTCCACCGCTTCCACCTCCAACGAGCCTGGCCCTGACGTGGCTGACTACCCCTATGACACCGTGCCCAACAAGGTGCGTTCCGTGTGTTCTGGGGGCCACGCAGCATGCTAGTTCTTTTTGTCCAGGGTGAAGGGCGGCATCGTAGAAGGTATATGCCAGAGCACCTTGTCCCCCTTCCCTACTGGTAGATCATCAGAAGCAAGGAACCCCACGCATAGGACTTGCGGGGAGGCAGAGAAGGCCGAACTTGTAGTTTCTGAAAGGCTTAGTGTGTCGAAACAAGCTAAAAACATCTCTTCAACCCTCTGGCGCAACTCAACGGATTTCAGTTTCAAGAATTCCCAGCCAGATCTGCCTGGAACCCCGCGTCCTACGCCAGGTGGACCAGCTCTTCCGTGCTCAGCTCTTCCACGATCGCAAGCAGTACGAGGAGCGCCGCCGCATGAGCCCTGCCGACCGCGCGGCGGCGCCGGCGGTGGATTACTTGACCCTTGGCCGGAAGGAAGGGAAACACCGCGACGGGTCCGCCTTCATGAGGAGGTATAGGGTGCTTGAGTTGGGCTGCTGTTTGAGGGGGTTTTGGGTTTTGGTTTTGGGAAACTGGAGGGTTGAAGCTGGGCCTATATATTATATAGTAAGGATCACTCAGAGTCATGACCAAACTTCTAACTTCTAATATGGTCTTGCATCTCTTCCGATTTCTTCCACGAAAGTGCAGCCTCGTCACCTTGTTCCCAGGGTTTTCACACGCCATGCTTCTGAGGAACCCCATCATCGCCGATGCTGACACCGGCCATGGCGGCATCACTGCTACCATGAAGCCAGGATGACCCAGGGGCCGCGGTCGCAGCCGGCGGAAGGATTGAATTCGGGTTGAAGATTCTCGGATGTAAGCTAAGAAGCATCCCAGAGCCATGTCAAAAGCCGGATCAGAGCACTTTGCTGATTTCTGCTTCCGGGTTCAAGGTCTGGGCGCCCCCCCTCACAACTCATCTCTCCAGGCTGTTTTTGGGGCTTCGGACCGGCATTGCCAGGTTGGCCAAGATGTTCATCGAGAATGGTGCAGCAGGCATCCACATCGAGGACGGATGCGCGAAGAGCTCTGCGCCGTGGGGTTGAGTGAGACGACTCTGGCACCAGGATCTCACATTGGCAAGTTAGGTTGATTAGATGACCTGAGGGTGAACTCCTACCCTCGATGGATCAGATCCGATCGGAGGCATGGTGATCCTTGGGTGCTTTGGATTCCTGTGGCCGAAAGCAGGGCTACAGTGACAACGAAACGCATGCTCACTGGTCCCACCGGTCGGTGCAGGAGTTTCCCTGCAACGTTTTGGTTCAGCAGTTCCAGTAGGCCCAGTAGGCCTTCCATGTCACCTTTCCTCCTTTCCTTCCTCACGACAAATCTCGTGCCAGGACCAGAAGCCAGGCACCAAGAAGTGCGGGCACATGGGTGGCAAGGTCTTGGTCTCCACCCAGGAGCTGCGATGCCCGAGTTTTGGGGCGGCGGAATGTCTTTTTTGTTCCCTCTCCGGTGGGCGGACAGCTGGTGGGGGTTTGGGTGAGTGGCATTGGAAATGGTGGAATGTGCAGTGCAAGGTGATTCAGAAGGTACCATGATGCAGAGTTGGCCTTTTGGAGTGCAGTCTTGGAGTTCAACTTGTTGCTTTCACACCGCAGTTTCGAGGTATATATAAAAGAGCCGCATACAAATAAATAAACACACATATATGTATTGTCATATTGCTTTCATTGACCTTTTTGCTCTTGCAAGGTGTCCTTCGCGGCTGTTGTGAGCCTTTGAAGGTTTCTTGAAAGGTTGTATTCAGAGATTGGGGGCCGTTGGTTCACAGGAAGGTCTGCACATTGCTGTTCGTGGCCCTTTTTCTTGCTGTGGCCCACACAGGCAAGAGAATACGAAACAAGTACACCAACAAACAGTAACATAGACCTGGAAGATTGAAGCTTAGAGGTTTCTCTGATACAGGAATCATTCAATCATAAGGCGGCTTTTCGAGCAACTGGTGAACCCTCCCTGGCAGAGAGAACGCGTGACCGCGACTTGGTTTCAGGAGCACATCCAGCGACTGATCGCAATCCGCCTGCAGGCGCGGTTTTCCGGAGACTGGTCTGTCTCGTAGAGGGTCCTTGCTTGATTCTTTTGGTTTGGGTGTGGCGCATTGTGCATATTTGCAGAACGGTCTTCCAAGCAGTGATCAATTTCGGGAATGTGGGGTTGAATGGTTCTTTTGGTTTCTCCCGCCCTGAGGTTGGCCTGTTTTGAAGCTTCCTAGTTTTCCCAGTATTTCTTGGGTGCCAGCAGCCGCGCTCATATGCCAGACCCTAGAAACCATCCCCCAGGCAGACGTGCTGAACAGCCCGCTGGTGCTGGTGGCGCGCACAGACGGGGAGGCTGCCACGATGATCGACTCCAACATCGACCCCATTGACCATCCTCACATCAAGGGTGTCACTGTCACTGGGCGAAAGGAGGCTTGTTTTTTTTTCGGGTGCTCAAGGGTGCTCAAGGGCCCAAGGGTGTGGGTTGGAGATCGATGGGGCTGTTGTGTGTGGCCGTTTCTTGCAAGTCTTCCCTTTTTTTCATCACTAGATTCAAGATTCCATGAAGCAGGGGGCGTCTTGTGCCTATCCCAATGAACTAGTGGCAGCAGTCGCTTTACAGCTTGGGCCCCCGTTTTGGCCCAACTCTTCACCACTTTGCTCCGAAAGAAAGTAATCCACGGACGCATCCCCTACTGTATATCAACTTGGATCCCTGACCCTTGTCACTGATACGGCATCCCTGACCCGGCTATGGGTCAAAACCGGGAGACCGACCGGTTGACCACCGAGAGGAAGAACAGAATAGAAGGGACAACCCACCAGGGTTTGGAGCTCCAGGTCTTGACCCAAGGCCGCCATGTAGCGAAGGATTTGGGAAAGCAATGTCTTCAAAAAGGCGACGTTTGTCGCAGACCCGTTGCTGAAATACTGGTTAGATCTGGCGAGTGCAGCAAGTATAATTCTGTTGCAGGATGGAGTTGCATTGGCTATGGGTGAGGGTTTCCATGTATAGTTTTTGCGGTTTTATGGTGTTTTATGAGCTGGTTGACGGTTGATTTGAGAACTCTTTCTTGTTCAATCTCATGAATCTATCGTCAGCAGGATCGTGGAAAAACGGGAGGCCGAGGAGACATCCACCCAGATGAGTTCCGAATAGATTTTCACCACGCTGTTGAGTTGGATGGCTTTTGGCACCCAAAGCCGCCATCCAGAGGCAGCCCGGCTTAAAAACTGCATCCACTTCTTTTTTGTGGGAGCAGGATTTGTGCACGAGTGTAGGGTCCTCTTCTTAGTTTCTACCACTTCTTGAGGGCTCTGCGTGAAAACGGTGAAGAGGAACCCACCCCAAAACCTCCCGATTTCCACCCAGGTGAAGGGAGTGGAGCCTCTCTTTGAGGCCTGGAACAAGCGGCATATGGGGCCGCGTGACGTGTCGTTGTGATGAAGAATTTATTTTGCGGATCGAGAGATTTCTATACTAATTACATGTATATTTTATCGGGCTCTCGAAGCCCCTGTCCCGCCGTGTGGGGAGGCCATGCGCAAGGGCACCGACAAGGATTGGGAGCAACGGGCTGGATGCATGACCTTCCCTGAGGCCGTCTCCAAGGCAGGTACGGGCATTTTTGTGGGTTGGGCTGGAGGCCTTCAATGAAGGCACCAACCTGTCAGCATCGTTTCTTTCAAAGTTTCTTTCGTTTCTCTTTCGGAGCTTCGTGCGCAAGATTCGGCCGAGCGGATGGTGCCAGGCACTCAAGGCGAAAGGAAAGGACAGCAAGCAGTGGGAGAAGGCCGGGTGGTCTCTCTGGTACCCACATGGTGTGAGCCTTGAGCCACCTTCTTCCTTCAAAAGCACCTCCTCTGGGGTCTACACTTCCTCGTTCATGGATCCGCCTAGCTGCTAGGATGCCAGGAAGATGTCCATCGACCAGATGAGGTCCCTTGCACCGCAGCGGGTTGGGGGGCGGACGGTGCACGGCCACAGGCCGTTGGGAGCCGTGTTTGTTGCTTTTTGGCCTTTTTTGATTGGAGGAACTGTTCATCGGTGGGTCATGGAAGTTGCGGAGCTTGCTTTCTGCCCCTGAGACTTACAGCCCACAGGGTCCCTGAAGCTTGGTATGAGTTTTGTGCGAACGTATGTCAGGAGGCGGACGTATTAGTTTTCAGATATTAGCAGTGGCAGGCCGCGATTTGATACAACTTTTGGCTCTCTCCTTGTTTTGGTGTGGGCAGCCTGCCACTGAACTTCTGCGGTTACTGTACAGGACTCGCCCTGCTCCCATTTTCTTCATTCTACATTCGTGCCCGGGAAGGAATCTGCTACCGACAGTGCTGTGGACTGAGACAGGTGCAGTTGGTCAGGATGCACCGCGAGTTCTTTCCTTGCAGGTCATCCACAGAAAGCCGCCGAAAGCGCGGATCGCGTCGGACGCGAGCGAGGAAAGCGGCAGCCGACATGGGTTGCGAGGTCTTCTTCGACTGGGACTCTGCCCGTTCGGCTGCTGGGGCCGAGAAAGGGCACCGGGGAAGGGTACCATCCAAGGGGTGTTGGTCGTTTGGTTTTACTGCAGAAATGGGGGACTTGTCGGGTTCGGTGTTCTATCACAAGTGGTTGCTTGCAGACACGATGACGATGCGTCTTAAAAAGCATGGTTGTTGAGGTTTTGAGGAAGCAGGGTTCGTTACTTTGGTCTGTTTGAAGGAGGGATGACTGATGTCCATGAACACTTCCTTGTGACTGCATGCATGCACACCCTCGTGGGGGTATATAAACGGGTAATTAAGCTGCTTTAGCTGCTAGATTTCTTCACCCGCATGAAGCCCGAATGTTTCAGCTCCAGCAGTTCTGAAGCGGTGCCTGTTCGAGGATATGGCTGCCCCTGTCACATCCACTCACTGGATGGGGAAAAAACATCTAAAAGCCACCCAACTCCATGTGACTCCTGGTATATATAGTAGAGTTGGGCCTGTCCTATTACCTGTAACAATCAGCAAACAATTATCACTATTTTTTTAGGCCTACAACCTAACCATCATCATCATCATCATCATCATCATCATCATCATCATCATCATCCACTGTTACAGGATAGATAGATCGGATAGACCCAATATATAGTAGAGTAGAGTGATCCTCCCATACTAGGACCCACAAGGGGTGGTTGATGGACACCCCAAATCACCTCTTTTCAGGGGCTATCAAGTTCGACACCCCTGGCCCGGGTGTCCTGGTAGATGGTATATCACGGGTGTGTTTTGGCAGCTTCCCTTGGCTCTTGGGAGTCGTTACGCACGTGGAGTGGACCGCCCCCCACTCGACGGGCGGGAAACGTGGTGCTTGGGTTTGGGGTGCCTCGGGGTACGGCTCCTCTGAGGTGGTAAAACCCGTGTGCCCCAATCAGACCCCAAAGAACTGGGGTCAAACTCGAAGGGCTGGAAGTTGTGAGGGCACATGTTCTTCATCAGGGCCTAGTGACCGGATGATGTTCTTTCAGCTGGTTACCCTCGAACGCTGTCTGACAGAGGTCGAGGGCTACTACCGCATCAAGGGCTCCACCGAGTTCTGCATCGAGCGAGCGATCGCTTTTGCACCCTATGCGGATGCTGGTCGAAAGCCGTTGGTTTTCACGCCCAACCTGGGGCGGTTGGTGGGGGGTTGGAGGATGGGACGGTTTCATTATAGAGGTATATAAATATGAAATACATATAGAACATGTCAACGTTTTGTTTGGGCCTGCCTGTTAACTGTTATTCTCCTTCGGCATGCTCCAGCATCTTCTATCTACTTGATGATGACTTATCGGTTTGAAGCAGGGAACTCGAAGAAATCAGCAGCCCTCCACGCAGACGGCACGTTTTGGGTGGTCTCACCATGTCTCACATGCCTCGCTTCGCTTTCAAAGGGGTCAATGGAGTATATAGGTTTTTCAAAGGCCATCGTCCCACCACCAGATGTCAAGAGGGGTCACCGTGGGGTTCCGTGGCCCGAGACTGAGGATTGCATCTGGATGGAGACCGGGAAGCCCATTCTGGCGCAAGCCACGCAGTTCGCCCAGGAGACGGCCGACCGGACTCGAGCCGACAGACTCGCCCGAGCGAGTCGCGCGGGGCGAGTCCAAGAGGAACGCGTTCCTCGCCCTCGGCCCGTGCCGGCCGTCGTTTCGAAAGGTGCGGCGAGCGCGCGAACGCGGTGGGCAGGAAGTGCGCGCGGCGGTGCCTCATCAGATGCTGGCCTACAACCTGAGCCCGTCCTTCAACTGGGACAGCTGGGGGCTCCCAGCAATCCCGTCGATGGAGACCGGGTGAGAGGGTGCTGGAGACCGATGACACAAGTCAAGACAAAGCTGTTGACTAGCCAGGTGACTAGCTAGCTATTCTAGATTAGTGAATAGCTAATAGCTAGGTGAATTGTGGCCGTAACTTTTTTTCCCTTTGTCTCTGTGGATGCCACGATCCGCCCTAGCGGCATGTGCTTGGATCAGCTTGGAGTGAGATCGGCCGGGTGTCGAGCTACTATGCCCTCGGTGTATAGCGACAAATCATTGTGAACACATGGTGCGAAGGGAGGTCCCTGGACAGAACATGATAGAACCGACTCTCAAGACGAAGGGATTTGCAGCACACCCAGGACCCACAACGGGGGGGGGGGGATGGAGCCTTAACCTCTAATCGAAGGAGCTCTCAATAGAGACCCCTTGGTGGGTCCTGGTATGGCTTTCTAGTGCTGGTGTGGCCATTGATACATTCAATGTACACGCTACCCATTTGGATCCACCACCATCCTGAGGTGCTGGCATGACCGACGCCCAGATGGAATCCTTCATTTGGGACTTGGCGAAGCTGGGCTTCTGCTGGCAGTTCATCACCTTGGCAGGTTTCCACTGTGATGCCCTCAGCATCGACCTCTTCGCCAAGGACACGGCAAAACGTGACGTTATAGTGGGCTTGTAGGGGGTCAGGCATCCAAAGTCATATGGCATCCAACGTGGATGGGTCCAAAACCTGGAGGTTTGGTCCGCCATATGACCTCCAGTCGATGGCCGGAGTCTACTCCTCGACGCGCGAGGAGTATGCCACACGCGGCGCCTACGCCTATGTGTCGATGATTCAGCGGGAGGAGCGCAAGAACAAGGCGGACGCGACACCCGCCGGTGTGGAAGAGAAAGAGAGGCTTCTAAAGGGTCCCCCCCCCGCAAGGCTTCCAGCAGTGAACGGTCAGTTTGCGGTGGGTCGCAGTTCGTCAGAAACCTTCTTCAACCCCTAGCAGAAGTGGTCATCTTCCCGAGCTTGGGAAGAGCCTGGGCTTTTTCTCCCACTTTCTTCCCCTCCATCATGGCGCACGAAATCGCCCAAACCCACCGGGTTCAGCCTCAGACGGTCTCAGGTGGAGACCTTGACCCATCAGAAGTGGAACCTTCGCTGCATGAACGGGCGGGTGGAGTGGTATTGGAGGGGGCAAAGGCGATGGGCTTTGGGGGATGGGCACAGGGGGCATGGGGCGGTGGGTCCAAAAATGTATCAGGTGGGCCAAGTGAGAAGAAACGAGAAGCTTTCGTTGGCGTTGAGACTTGCATTGGGACTGGCTTCTTGGGTGGGTGAGTCGTGTTCATTCAAAGACACAAGCTGGGGGTGTTGATTCGATCTTATGGATGCCCTCACAGCAGGTCTGGATGATGAGGGGGTGAACTGGATCTCCTGAATCATCCTCAATTTGGAACATGAGCAGCGGGGCATTTTTGTAGGATCCTTTTTGATGCTTTGGGCTTCCCAAACCCCCAAACCCCCAAACCATGGCCGAGAATGGCTTGTGGAACTGCAATATGGTCCCCGAAACAGTGAGTGTGGTTGCTGGGAGGCTCAAAGGGGTGCTCATGATTGAAGAACTACTATTGGGCCCAGCACGCCATTCGAGAAGCATTACCAACATTTTTTTTCAATCTGGGTAAATATGACTTACATGACTATCGATTCACCAACACCACCTAAGTGTAGAGCCAGCATGGAGCTTTGACATTGATGCCTGTTTCAGGCAGCTGACTATCTTCGCTGTGTTCGGCAGGGCTCCAGTTTGCTTAGACATGCGGGCAGACAATCGCTTCAGACATGAGCTGGAAGCCCCCAGTCCCTTCAAAGCCTCGGCCATCTCAGCACACAGTCCCCGCATGCTTGGCCCCACTATTTGTTTTGCCTAATTTTTAGGTTTTGTTTCTTTTCTTTTCACGGCACCCCTTCATGAAGGGTTTAGCTCGGCCTATGAGCTCTCCCCGTCTCAGACGCACGCATCAAGAACACGCCCGTCACGCCCGTCCCCTCGCACCGGTCCCACCATCCATTTGTGTGCTCGGTGTGGGACCACTTCAATGGGCGACTCCGTCATCGACATCGACTCGGAGGAGGAGGATGGCCTGTCGCATGCAGCGCATGAGGCAGCACACCAGGCGGCTCAGAGTGCTTTGGCCCATGCACAGGTGCGGAGCAGCCTTGTGGCACAGCTCACCTTGCCTCCCAGCAGGGGGCTGACCCTTCCGCAGCTCGTGGGACGGGCGCAGCTGTGGTTGCAGGAGGAGCACCTCGGAGCTGAAGGGAGCGTTGATCACGGTTTTGACTCCCATGTGAAGACGTAGCCAGACACTCCATGTATGGCATATGGCATATGGCATATATGCCGAGAAACGGCCAGGGGTGGTGGTTTGGGGGGTCAATGGGGCAGCATATATGGCAGTCCCATTAGTCGTGTCTGGGGTAGGTTGTTCTTATAAACTACCCACGTCTCCTCCCGCCCCCCACGTGGTGCTCTCGCTCCCAGGTCCCTTCACTTCGCACCAGAGGAGGCCAGGGTGGGGCTCCAAGGGCGGAGTTGGACCGACCCATACAGGGTTCCTCTGGGTTTCCGGAGGCTGCGTTTCGCCCCATGGGAATGATGACGCGAATCGACTCGGTCGACTCGATCTTGAGGAAGTAAGTGCGAATCCTTCGCGAATCGAAGCTCTGAAGCGAAGCATGATGAAGTGAGTGTGGCCCTTCTGGAAGTGAGTCTTAATGGACCTTCTCCAGCAGTTCAACCACGTGCACCTTCCAGCCGGGGCTCCTTAATTTATACTGTAAATCCAGTCGGGCCAATTCTGTGCAACATGTGCAGTCGTTCCATCAAAGCACTTCCCACCTCCTTGAACCCGTCAAAAAGCACGCTTGGCTTCTCGCGTCCGTTCTGCGCGTTCCGTCATCGCAGGTGGAGGAGGAGGATGAATTGGACCTCATCATCCCTGTTAGCCAACTGGGCGAGGTTGAAGCCAAGATCTTAGGCCCCGAGACCGGCGTATTGGGTGGCCTATCGGTGATCCTGAACCTGTCACCGCCATTGGCAGCCAACGGCTTCCTTGCAGTGCAAAGGTTGGGTTTTGGGAGATTGATTTCTAGTCTGAGAACCTTTTGCCTGGCTTGGGATGTGTTTCTGTGGTTTTTGCTTGTGTTGTGCTCAGCCACTCACTCAGACTTGTTGAAGGATATGTTGCACGATTGGGAGGCTTGTAAGATTTGAGGCGGGGAGGGTTTCGATCCGCCGGTCTACACATGATTGATTCAATTCAGGAGAGGTCTGGGCATTTCTCTTAGAGTTGATGTCGGTTCTTCTCATCTACTCACTCCCATTCCCATTCCCGGTGGTGAATTCACCACGTGAGGTAGACTCTTGCCCAAAAAGCCTCCGTCCCCTAGGAGGATGCTAAAAACCTCTTCCATACAGGGGCCCCTTCTTTGATCCAAGAGCCTCCATGCTCCTCCGGCCTCCTCGCTTCACCACGGACAACCCCCGCGCCGCCCCGCGCTTCGCTCTCATCGATCGGCGGACCGGCCTGGATGCCCGAGGCTTTGCCCTGGACTTCATGGCCGAGGGGCACCGGATCTCCATGCTGACCCTCGAGGCCGTCGAAGGCGATCCCTTCGAGGCCCCAGAGAACCGGTGACCGCGGACCGAGCCGTGTCCAGAGTGCGGTCGGGGCGATGGACAGGAAGAGGGAACAGGGGCCGGTAGGGTCCGAACGGTGGAACAGGGGCCGACTGTCTGGTGACCATGAAGCCTTCGACCCCTGAAGTTCAAAGGATGTTGATGTGTTCTGAGTTGTGACTCAACTGAGACTTGAATCGCGCACATGATTGTGGATCGCATCCAGGATGGCTTTACATCTCTGCATGGAGGGTTTGATTTATCAAAAGTCTGCATTAACACACGCACACACACACACACACACACCGGTTTTCAAAAGAGCTTCTGGCGCAACCGTGGAGGCATTGGCCACTTTCAAAACGTGGCTGAGCAGTGCCACGTGTGCTGAGCAGTGCGTCACGCTCCATGGTCCCAAGTCCTTGGGTCTAGTCCCGCGGCCGCATCAGAAGGGCTTCGGGTTGCGCTTCCAGGGGGCCGTGCTGGAAGAACGGGACGTGGACTTGTTGGAGGATGAGCAGTGGTTCAACGACACCATCATGGACTTCTTCTTGCGTTTGGCCGTCGAGGTGGCGCCGCCACAACTGCAAGAGGAGAAGCAATGCAATAGTTCTATGCAAAGAATCGAACGGGGAGCTGTAGAATCCGTTCACTGCCATTTTTAATACCCTTTCAACCGGCAACGCAGCATAAGACGCTAGAATTCAGCTCCCATACTGGTAACAGACTTGCGGGAGAATCGAAGACGTTGATTTCGTTTTGACATTGCACCGGTCGGTTCATGAGTTGCAAGCCATTTCCTTACGTTTATCAACGTACCAAAAAAGATCAAAAAAGACCGTGGTGATCTGGGACGCATTATTAAAAAAAATATCAAAAACACTTTTTGATAGACCTGGTTCTTCCAAGTGACCTTTTGATCCCTTGGTTTGAGGTCCTGCAATAGTTCACTTAGGGACCCCAAAAAGGTCACTTGGAAGAAGCATACACAGGGGCCGCTCCAAACGAGAGAACGAACCAGACTTTCCAACACCTGCTTGCTGCTGCCTGTCTCTCTCTTAACCTCGATCCGCTGCCTGTCTTTTGCAGGAGTTGTATGTGGCCAAGACTCAGTTCTTCACGCGCCTGAGCGCCGCCGGCGCCTCCAGTGGCGAGAAGGGCTGGGAGAACGTGCGGACGTGGACGCGGAGCGTCACGGGTGGCCTGGCGTCTCAACGGGTCTTGATCTACCCGGTGAACGAGGCGCCCTGACGGCCCGGAGGTCGACGGAGAGCTGTTTGGCCGGTTTGGATGGAGGTGTGTTCCAGGCTTACGCCAGTTTCAGGAGTGATTCTTTTGGTTACTCAGATACTCCCTCTTTTCATCTCTTTTCTCTTTTCCTCTGGGTGAATGTATATATATATACATACAGTGGCTATTATATATATATCAGCAAAGGTGACATGGACCTGGGCAGAACTTATGAGGCACTTTCGGGTGTTGCTGGGGTGCATATGCCTGCAGGCTAGCCAGTCTAGAGTGTTCCAATGTTTCATCATGCCTCTTTAAGGGTTGTTGATTTCTCCCCCATCAATGAGGTTGTCGAAAAGGGTTGAGTCGGGGTCGCCCGAGGTGTTTGGCAGGGGTTCTTCTTGGGCCTCCATTCCCCAAGAACAGCTGCACTGCGACCGTGCATGGCAGGCCAACCTGCACTGGTGCGCCTTCTTCGTCTGCCATCCCTACCGAGTGATGCGGACCGATGACACGCGCGGGCACATGGAGGACTTGCCACGGATGGTTTGTCTGGACTCCGCATGGGAGCCTTTGCCCAAAGAGGACCACATCAAATTGCTGAAGGGAGACTTGGTTTGGCTTCATTCGGAGTTTCTGGCCATAAGGCTGGGGTGAAGTGCCTTCCGCGGAAGGTGAGATGTTCTTATCAATGATATGTCTAAAAGCTGGGCCATTCTTTCCCCGGTTCCTGACACAAGAGCACATCCAAGATCATCCAAGGATACTTGCGCCGAGAGCTCTTCAACACGAGTGGCTACGGCGTCCAACTGGAAGACTCCAAGCGCCTTGAAGACAAGGTGACGCGGTCGCAGATGGTGGCTCGATGGAAAGCTGCAGTGTGCGGCTTGGAAAGGATGCAGGCCATTGAGACGGACGTTCCAAAGCAGCAGAACGTCTATGATTGTGGTCTCTACGTGCTGGAGTTCTTGCTCTTTCTGCTTCGCCACCCCGAGAAGTTGACCAGACTGGGCTTGGAATCGCACCAAGCCTGGTTTGACCAGTCCACCATCAGCCATCGTCGCACTCAAATGCGCCAGCTCGTGGTGCATTTGCTGCAAGAAGGAAAGGCCAAAGGGGAGACGGACCTGTCGGTCCTCCTCAAGGACCAGGGCCTCCGTGCTCGTGTGCACGAGGCCCTTCTCAGTGAGCCGAGCCCCGACGAGGACCTGCCCTGGCGGCCACCGAAGGAGCCCCCACCTGTGAAAGCGCGGCCGCTGCCACCTCCGGCAGTGCCACCTCCGGTGCCGGCGCAGGCGGCTGCGGCAGAGGCCAAGTGGTGGGATTGGGGCGAGTGGAGTGAGGACACGCGGGGGTGGAAGAGGGCCAGGAGGAATGACTGGTGCTGAACTGGCCGTTCCCACTTGAACAAGAGCTCGAAAGGCCTAGCTTTTCGGGTGGATTTTATTCGTGCCTGAGTGAGAAAGTGGCTGTCGGCATGCAGCGTTCGAGGCTGCAAAAGCCTTGGGGGATGCCAGTCATCCGAGCTGTGTTGTCCCTTCCACGGCTTGATCACCGGATGGATTTCGTTGTTTCCTGACCTCCCCGCAACACCAAAGCATGCCAGTCATGGACACAGATAGAGAGAGAGAGAGAGAG